CTTAAAGGACATTCGCACATATGAAGAATTTGGGGCAAAGCAAAAAGGAGGAATGTGAGGGAAATTCCTGATGACTTTACTAATGTTAAAATCCCATAGATTTAGCTACTCCTTTTTTTTTTTTTCCTTTCACATCATCAATTCAGAATTCTATAAAGGAAGAGAATGACATGGTAGAAAATCATTGGCCTAGGAGAAAAGAGCCCGTAGGCGTTTAGGTGTTATATATGTGCAGCCAGAAAGCTCTGGAGCATCAGGGAGACTCCAACTTAAGGCAACAGCATGGGTGAATAAGGGCTTCTTGTGTACTGGGAAAGAGAGGCACAGCCTGGTGCTTGAGCACTGGCCCCTAAGGCAGGCCCTACAGATCTAGAGGCAATTCAGCCTTGGTGGGAAGAGTTTAGTGTGAAACTGGGGTGGAACTGGGTTTCCAGGTACATTCCCTGATACCTTACTATATGTTCTGTCAGTTTCTTTCAGGAAAATCTTCATCTTACAACTTGTAGGGCTGGTGCTAACTTACGACTTCACTAACTGTGACTTTACGGAGATTAAAAAAGAGTATTGCCGTACTATTCGTGAAGACTTGCTTACATATATGAGTGGGGTAAGTGAAGAAACTTTTTTGAAACAAATGTATTTTCATCGGAAAGGTAGACATACACACACTCTACAATTTAACTTTGTAGGAAAGAAAAATAATTTAGAAAAAAATAATGGCCCCCACATTTTGTCAAGAATTCGTACAAGTGATAGTCAAATATATTGACATCTAAAATAATTATTTAGAAATCGACACATTCTAAGCCTGCAGATGCTGGTGAAGAGCAGGTATTGATAGGCAGTGCATTATGCACCAAGGATGTCTATCCTCTGCTAAAGTACTGCTCCGATTGTGCTGTAAAAAGACAGCAGGAGGTAAGAGCTTAAGAAAGAGGAGTAAAAGAGAGATCATTCTCATGAACTAAGCCCTAAGGATTGATGCTGTGCTTCAGGTCTCGCCAGTGTTTTAGATGTTTCAGGATGCAATTTATTACAGAATATGATGTACTTAGAATTTTTGTAGTAATCATTTTCCTGATTAACCTAATTTCTAGATAGAGTTTGTATTCATGAACGGCTACAGTACAGATGTGGACATCCAAAGAATGGCATTATTGCTCACAAGCATAGTGCCGTGTGCAGTCGTGACTTGAGGGAAGGAAGTGGGGAGGTCTCCCTCTGAGACCTGAACCTTTTGGTGTGGTTTCAAACACTAGCCAGCACTATCTGAAGACTATTTCACTGCCTTGTCGATGATATAGGAAACAGGTATCTGATTGCAAACTGTTTTCAGAGTACCTTTAAAGCCTGGGAACAAAGGGTGGGGGAATGATTTTCCTTGTAGACTTGAAAGTCTTTACCCTCCTTGTCACATGTTTCTTTCTTCCAGACCAAAAGTACCGAGTTCAACACCACCATCTTTTGTAACAATCGGGTGAGTAGAGAGGTCAGTGCTGTTGGCTTTCTCCAGGGAGGCGCTAGGCATTTTGGAGAGGGAGTAGCCTGCGGTGTGCAGAACCCCGGGAGGTGCCTAGGCTACCGGACAACGCCGGAGGGGATAGGGGACAACTGGGCTGCCAGCGCGGGGCTGCGCCTAGTAGGGAGAGGAAGTCTCTATCCGGAGGAAACGCAAATCGGGAACTGGGACCAGGAAATCTTGTCAGGGGCACCACCTACTGGGGTCCCAGCCTTCGCTCATGGGCGCAGGCTTTTGGCCTCCTCGGCAGCCTGGAGACTTGGGCGGAGCGAGCGTGGGTGACTGTCCTTTCGCAACAAGCGCCCTCCGCCACCCTCGCCACGCCCCTGCTCCCCAGCGGTTGGTTCTTTCTTGCTCTTCTCAATAGTGACCTCCACGCTCTTACTCTTGTTTGTGGTGTTCTCCGCTCCTCCCCCACCTTCCTCCCCTCCCCTTTCACTCAGTTCTCACCAACGCGCTCTCTCTCTCTTTTTTTCTTTCTGGTGTTTTCGCCCTTTCTCTTAAACTTTGCCGCCGGTGAGCAGTCACACTGCCTTACTGAAATCCAGCGCCTAACCTTCAATCCCACCGCCGGCTGCGCGCCGCTCGCCAAGGAACTGTTCGTCTTGAGAACTAACGCTACCCTCGCTCTCTGGTGCCCAGGCTATTCGGAAACTCAGGTAAGCCCGAAGCCTCAGACGCTCGCTTTGTACCTTGGGGATAACCTTCAATTAAACTGGGGCTTTGGTGCAGAAGTCTTTCTCCGAATTTTATCTGGGCTTTATCTTTTCAAGAGCAAAGGAGCCGGGTAAAAGCAGTAGGATGTCAGTTAGTCCCACGTTGATACCTGGACTCAAACCCATCTATTTCTAGAGTTCTGATTCCGTTTTGGCTGAATTACGGTCCTAAACCTTAGGGCAATGTTTCAAGGCATGATGAGTGACCTCCTATATCAGGATGTTTTGATTGCTGGAGCATAGGGATATGGCTGTTAAAAATGCCAGTTCTCAGGGACTCAACCCATACCTTCAACATCAAAATCTCAGGTTATGGGGCTCCTTAAGAGATTCTTGTCCAGTCCAAAGTTTGAGCAACACCACTTGTTCTTATCAGTTAATTATTGTGAGCTTCTTTGTTAAAATGTTGCATTGTACATAAAATCTCTATCCTACGTTTACTTAATTGCTTGTATAGGTGCTATTGTTACAGATGTAGTTATCTGCATTTGAATGCATGTGTAGCATTAAATATGGAGATAGTGTAGTGGAAAGCTAGGCGTGGGAACTCTGGAGACAGCCTGCCTGACTTTGAATCCTTGCAGGTAACTTCTGTGAAGACTTGGATCTTAGCTTCTGTTTTCTGTAGCTTCATGGGTAAAGTAAATGTCATATCAGTCTTATACAGGTTGTTTATGAGGATTAAATTAGTCAATACATGTAAATGCAGTTGGAACAGTGCCTGGCACATAATAGGCACTCAATAAATATTTATTTCAGTCAGCAAGTAGAGAATTTATCTTCAAGATGACAAGTTTAAGAAAGAGAGAGACAAGTGCAGATACGTATGATTGCTCCTTATTAACCTAGTGGACTTTATACATCTGCAATCTGAGTAAACGGACAAGACTGTCACTTTTTAGAGGTTGAGGATTGAAGTCATAGGGCTGCTCTGGATTGAGCTTGAATTAGAAACTCAATATCAGACAGCCATATGAGAAACCTGTTTGGCTCCATGCCTTCTTATGAAGGAGACCCTGGCAAATCTACAGATTGCCACAATAAAATTTGTTCAAATAAGAGCACAAACAAAAGGCTACGTCAAGTTCTTGGACAGCATGTGAGAAAGGGAGAGTTTGGAGAAGTTTACTTCAGTCACCTCCCAAGCCCAAATGGGGAGTCTAAGACTAATAATATTTATGACTTTGCATATTTTAAACTGTAAGATTTGTGCTTAGTAACCTCTTGACTTTATTAATCTGCATACCATGTGTCTAGGAGCCCCGGTGTACTACTCAAAGGTAATTCAGATAAAGACATACACCGGAATCCTCTTTAAAATAAGCCCTCAGAGGTCTGCAGCACATCTAGATGGTGGGGCAGGGGAGGAGGCAGGATGGGGAAGAGGAGCATGCATGTTGGGTCCAAAAACTAGACTATGTTTACTGAATTATGTCTATAAGGAGGTATAAGATAGCTCTTGCCCATGAGGAACTTGTGATCTTGTCAGGGAGATCTTGAAATCAGCAATTTATTCATTTACTTAATCATCCAACAAATATTCAGTGTTTCCTATGATTAAGACACTGTTCTCAGTGCTATGGGGAATACCTGTGATGCAATATTAAGAAAAGCATGTGAGAGCCAAGTTAAATGACACACCCTCTTAAGCACTAGAAGGGTTTCCAAAAGCAAGGTGTGAGCTATTAACAGAGGATTTTTGTAGGAGGTGGTGCTTGATCTTGAAGCAAGAGTAGGTGAATGGAAAAACAGGAAGGCATTCCCCTGGAGAAGGCACATACTAGCACATGCAAGCAGGTGCTTTGGAAACACATTGAAAGGTGGATTTGCATGGAGAAGGCAACATAACCTGCACACCACAGTAACTAAAGATAGTGAAAAGTAATTTTGACTATTGATTCTCATATTCTACAGATAAATGCTACTCAGGCAATGAAGAAGAGGAAAAAAAGAAAAGTCACAACCAATAAGTGTCTGGAACAAGTCTCACAATTACCAGGATTGTGGCGTCGCTTCATTCGAACTTTAAGGAAATGACAGTAAACCATCTTTATTATGGTCATGTTTCACAGCACCAAAATAAATCATCTTTATTAAGTAGATGAAACATTAACTGTGACAAAGAAGACCACAAATAGTTATCTTTTAATTACAGAAGAGTTTCTTAACTTATTTTTGTAAGTTTTTATTGTTCAATGTAAGTTTATAATGCAGGGGAAGTACTACTCCTCAAATATTGAGGGAAGCTTCCACAACATTGATGACTGGCTTTGTGGCAGAAATTCGCAGCTGTAATTGTATCAGCATTACTCAAGAGGAAAATCCAAAAGTGTATTAGAGCTTCATTCCTTGAAAAATGAAAAATATTTAACTCGACGATAGCACCTAAATTTATGTTTAAAAGGCAGACATTCTTTCTACATGTAATGACACTAATTGTGTTAAACTAAAAATTTACAAGAAAGTAAATGCACATGGGGTTTCACAAATAGTTGTAAATATAACGAAGTAATTTAAAATAATTTTCAAGCAAAATACTGTGAAAGTATTCTAAGCCAAGTTTTAAATATTATCTAGCAGACAAGAGTGGTATATGCAAGTAGATCCTGAGAAGTATTTTTGTTACAAACTGTATATATATGTGTGTGTGTATATATATATATATACACACACATTATATATAAATTTATATATATATGTATTATAAAATGTAATTTATTTTGTGAACACTTTTGAAAATGTACATGTTTCTTTGTAATTGACACTATATATTTCTTAATAAAATAATTCTCAAATTCGTTTCTTATGAATCATCTTTCAAATCTAGTTCGTAGACAATTTACACACATACTTTTCTAAGGGACATTATCTTTCTTGAAATTTTTACCTCCACTCATCCTTGGAGCCCATTGACTCCTCCCCTTTATACCTGTTGGTTCTGCTTATGGGAAAGAATATTTGGAGATAGGCAGCTCAGGATGCATTGCAATCATCCTTTTCTTAAATTTTGTCACTTGACTTTTTTTTCTCTCTCTCTCCTCTTGAAACTTCCTCACACCTGGAAGAAACAAAGTAGGCAAAAGTGAACAGGGGATATTAAATCTATTCTTGAATTTCTGCAGCAAGCTAGAGCCATAGGCACCCTCTCACTCACCTTCCACCCAGAATCCTCCAAACACCAATAGGAAGGGTGACCCTGGACCATAGAACCTAGGCCAAAATAGAGCACATGGGGATGCACTGATTTTTCCTAGGAGTAGACATGATCTTCTAATCACTCCCCTGAGGGTTAGTTGGGGCTAAACCATGACGGAATAGGGAAAGTTCAATGTCCTTAAATCCATCTTACCTGCCAACAGGTAAGAGGAAACTTACATTATATGTCCAGTAAGCATTTAAAGAGTACTTACTGTGGAACAAGACTTCAGCCAAGCACTGGGGATAGAAAAGTAAGACTCAGCCTTTGTCCGGGGAAGCTCAGGGTGTGGCTGAATAGGCAGTTTCTTTCGTCTTGAGGAAAATTGGGACATGCCTGCTTTCCAAAAATCTTCCTCTGAGGACCTAATCCAAGTCCTTAAATGCCATTATAAGATAAATTCCTTTAAGTCTATTAACTCCATTTTAGTAAGGATTCACTGACTAGATTTTACTGAACTGTGAAAAGAAATACACTCACAATTTTTCACAAAGTTTTGGGCCCAATTCCCCTAAAAGAATTGAGGATTAGGGAGAAAGGAGATAGCAGTTAAGTGCAGTTTCTTTGAATTTTCTGCTTTATCTTAAATATGTTGTGTAATTTATATATTTTATTTTTCTATGTATTCCATAATTGTCCTAATATAAAATTAATCATTTAAATTACACTGTCAAAAGGATGCATCATATTAATTTAGTAAGAACTTTCCAAATGTTGCAACAATGTGGATCATACATCTCTGGTTTTTCAAATGTACTGAGGTGTTCTTGGTGGACTAGTATATGGCCAGTTATGTCAATGTCTCATGGTCAAAAAAAAAAAAGTTGCAAACTGTGATTTAACCATATAAAGTTGGATATATACCTATTCCGACTACACTGTTAGTCATGCTATTTATATTACCTATATTCTCACTTTTGTATCCTTCATTCAGAGGCTAAGAAAGCTGTATGAAAGTCTACTGCTGTTGTAATTCTTCACTTCTTTGTATCCATAAAGTTTTGCTTTCCTGTTGCTGATACTATTTTTATCCAATGCCTAAAAAATCACTGAAACCATTTATTGATAATTGTACCCTTACCATTACATTTCCACATTTTATTTGCCAAGTAATTTGTGCCCTCTGTTACACTCTTTCTAGGTCTCTTTGTTTTTGATATTTCTTATACATCGAGTGTCATTTTAGTGTGTGGAAGTGGGGAGAAAGAGGTTTGTAGGAGAGGGGGTGGGTGAATTCCAAATCGGGGCATGTTTACTTTTAGTGCTGTTGCTGCATTTTTTTCTATTTTCTGTTTTCATAGTTCTACACTATTTGTATAATTTCACCTAAAAATCGGTATTTGTATTTATTCCTTTTAACCATTTCTTATTATTTTTGTCCTATCCCTTCAGTATATTGATATCTGGAGAATTTGAATCTTGGTTCTATTATTACATAACTCTCCCTCATAGGCTTTCTATTGCTTAATTCAGTTTTTGAAAAAGTGTTGACCAAGACAGTACTAAGCCCTCCTTACCTTCAAAGGAGGCAACTCTATAGGCTGGTAAATTTATTTGTCCATGTTCTTTATTTAAAAAAAAAAAAAGTTCCCTTAACTCTTAAGAATCAAATATCAATTTTTTTCATTCTGTCCATATCAGAAAGTGAGGGGAAATTTATCAAATGCTTTTCTGAAGTCAAAACATACTAAGCCCGTATCAAACCCACAGATCAAATAAATTTATCCAAAAATGGGACTTTTAAAACATTTCAATTATATTCCTTTTTAAATCTTACAAGCCGACTTTCTGAGAATTATACCAAACAATAACACTAAACTGATCTGAGATTTTTTCAGTATTCCCTCCTTTTTATTATTCAAAAGTACTAAGTTTTCTCAAATACTTTTGTTTCAACTGTAGCTTTGAGAATATCTGTTGGCTTTCGTCTGGCATTGCACTTTATAAATACACCTATATTTTTTGATACCCAGTATTTACAGATTACCAAATAATATAGTTTCACTGATGATTATCATGCAAAAGTTATTTATGTCTAAACACAAAGGATAATAGCTCATATACAAGGTTAATTGCAAATTGAATTTTTTGAGTCTCAGGTTCTACATTTCTAAAATAAGGATGATGCTTCCTATATTATTGTGTTATTACTATAATTAAAGTACACAATAAATATAAAGTCCTTGGCAAATGGTAAGGAAAATTCTTTAAATGTAGTTATTTGAATGCCTGTTTGTAACTATTATAAAGATTAGGAATAAAGGCTGTTACAGAGCCTGTCAAATACCTTCATTTTTAGTTTTCTGACTAGGACTGCTTTGTGACAATAGAAAGAAGGTTGAAAAGTTTAGGCACACAGTTATTGACAGACTGTCAATTTTGAACTCTACCAAGATAGTGTAGTTTATAGGACAGAGTACCTCAGGTGAGAGGTGCACAGAGAAAGAAGCTCAGAGACCTGTAGGCATATCTCTTGAATATTTAGCTGGGTACTTCTCAGCATATGGCTGTCAGAAAACTACCCAATACTGGGGAAAGAGTCATTTGAACGATTAGAGGGAATAGTGCCCATTACTTACTCAAAGCCAGAAACTTTAACTATTTTCACCAACTAGACTGGAATATCTCACAAATCATTAGGCATTGGATAGGTCACTCAGGAGAGTCTTATTTTAATAATAAAGAATAATTAGCCCTTGAAAGAATCAAACTGTTTCCAAGTAACTTAGCTACATCCTACAATAAATTTCAAGAATATCTGTCGAAATTAAAAACTACCTAGGACCCAAAAAGAAAAAATTCACGGTATTTGTTATATAATTAAAGATTATCACAAATAAAAAAAGAGAGAAAATACAACCTATGATGAGAGAAAAAGTGAAATTGATTCAGAGCTAACATTGAAGTTAGAATTAGCAGACAAGGACATTAAAATGGTTACTGTAACTATATTCAATATGTTCAAAAAGTTAAATATAGACACAGAATACATCAAGAAAATCCCAATTCAGCTTCTAGATATGAAATCTGTAATGTGTGAAGTGAAATCCACAGTGAATGGTAATGATGAGAGATTAGACGTTGCAAAAAATAAGATTGGTAAACTTGAAGACATACCAAGGAAAACTATCCAAAATAAAACACAGAAGGGAAACAATAACTTAAAAATGAAAAGGCCATCAGTGAGCTGTGAAACAACTGCAGGTGCCTAATATACATGTAATAAATATCGCAAGGAATGAAGTAAAGAGGCACAGAAAAAATATAGAAAGAAACAATGGTAAATCTCCAAACTTTATAAAAACTCTAAACCCGGCCGGGAGCGGTGGCTCACGCCTGTAATCCCAGCACTTTGGGAGGCCGAGGCGGGTGGATCACGAGGTCAAGAGATCGAGACCATCCTGGTCAACATGGTGAAACCCCGTCTCTACTAAAAATACAAAAAATTAGCTGGGCATGGTGGCGCGTGCCTGTAATCCCAGCGACTCAGGAGGCTGAGGCAGGAGAATTGCCTGAACCCAGGAGGCGGAGGTTGCGGTGAGCCGAGATCGCGCCATTGCACTCCAGCCTGGGTAACAAGAGCGAAACTCCGTCTCCAAAAAAAAAAAAAAAACTCTAAACCCACAGTTCCAAGAAGCTCAATGAAGCAGAAGAAACAAATAAAACTACACTAATGAGCATCATAATCAAGTTGCTCAAACCAGAAATCTTAAAAGCAGCCACTGACATTATAAAGACCTTCAGCACGTTCTTCTTAGGATTTCCTCTCCAGACCACTTTTACCCTTTCTCCTGTATTTCATATATAGAATTTCATGAACAATATCATAATATAAGTAGAAACCAATTTTACATTGGTTAGCCTTAATTATTGAGTTCTACCTTCTGTTTAGGAAGGTGGGAAGATTCTTTTCCATTCTCTGCTATTCTTGAAGTAAAGACAAGGATTGTCATAAATGAAAGCAACACTTACTGAGTAGTTTTATCAGTTATTTTTCTTATAGTACCTTATAAAATCTTTGCAACGATCCTGTGCTATCCCAATTTTATAGATGCAAGAAAAGGCTCAATCAGCAAAATATCCAGTGTAGCACAACTAGAATGTGTAGTATCTAGCTGATTCCAAAGTACACACTTTCTAGTACTCGAGGTTAAAATTTTAGATTTTAAATAAAAAAATGCCTTGACTAAGTGGAAATTATCCCCATTACCTAACTAGTAGATGTTATCGTTGTCTCCTCAACAAGGATTCTGTAACTTCTTAATTTTGCATCTATTTCCCCATCCACCATAGGGCTTTAGGGATTGATCCCAGCTCCTGAGGTGGATTTTGATTAGTCCAAGCTAGTCTGGGTGTCCCAATATTCTTGCTTACAGCAGAGATAACCAGGCTAACACTCATAAGCTAGTACCTTGACTCGGGTCTTGTTCAGGATAAACATATAGCCACCTTTTGCGATGAGCAATAAGCATAAGGTTTTTTGGGGCAAACTCTAAAAAAAGTTTCCTCACTTTAAAAAAAGGCAATAGAGTGATGGTCTTCCCCTCTCATGAGATACAAACAAAGAAACATGCAGTAGCAATTACAATTAGCAATTATCCTAAAACCAGCATTGAGATGAAGCCACGGATGGCAGAGAAAGATGGAAATAGCCTGATGTTGTAAATATATAATTATACAAGTAGATTAATCCATCTTGACCTCATCCTTCTTTTGATTTCCCATGAGCTAGTTAAATAAAATTTTTGTTTTTGTTTTTCTGTAATGGTGGTTATTGTTTCTTAATGTTTAATGCTACAATTTACCTGAATGCCAAGACAAAATTAATCTTGATTTAATTTGAAGTAGGAATAAAGGATGAGCAAGACGAAGGTAAGCCCCAATATCTTAGGGAGCAAGCCTAAAATTGTGACCTGGGATGGTAGAGATACAGGAAAAGTAAACATGTAAAGAGGATGCCATTATTTGGCATATTTCACATTGTTTCCTTCTGTGGCTTGAACATGTGTCCTACCCAAAATTCATGTTGAAGCTTAAATCCCTACTGTATTTGGGGAAGTGATTATATCCGGAGGGCTCCACACTCATGAATGGATTAGTTCCTCATAAAAAGGCTGGAGGAAACTAGTCTAGTTTCTTCTGTTCTTCCCATCTTCTACCACGTGAGGACATAGTGTTCATCGCCCTTTGCCTTTTCTGTCATTTCTGCTATGTGTTGACACCTAGCCAGTGCTATATATGAGGAACAGGCCTTCACCACACACCAAACCTAGTAGCAGCTAAATCTTGGATTTCCCAGCCCCAGAACTGTGAGAAATAATTTTTGTTGTTTACAAATTCCCTAGTCTCAGGTATTTTGTTATAACAGCACAAATGGGCTAAGAAACTTTCTATAAATTACTCTTATGTCAATAGATCATTGCCTTGGCAATTTTAGCTGAGATGCCACTTTTCAAGATGGTGCTCATAGATGCAGTCTTTTTATGCCCCTACACCCCTCCCTGTTCTACTGTCCCTTCTGCTAGCTATTCTTGTGTGGAAGAGAGTGGCAGGGCATTTCAAATTGCATTGAGGGTGAACTTAGATTGTGTTTGGAGCAGATATTATAGATATAAAGTTTATGGAATAATTCAGGGTAAATATCAAATGTATGTGGAGTTTGAGGAAGATCTGGTAATAATTTAAGAGTGTAGCCCATACTTTATCTTGGTAAAATATCTAGCACACAGTAGTTCTCAATAGACATGCTGAGTAAAGGAATGACGGAATTAAAATGAATTAAAAGTTAAATACATGTTTCCCAAGAATAAACTGTTTTAAAGGCCATTATGAGTCAGAAACTGAATTGGCAACAGCAACTATCAGATAAACTATCTGATTCCTGTCACCTGCTTCTGTGCAAAAGGAAAAGGAGACTATCAATCAATGTTATTGTAACCTGTCATTATTCTTCACAGCTTCTTTTAAAACAACTCTGTCCCTTCTTTTCCCCCAAAGTTGCAAAACAAAAATTAAACTTGCATTTATTCAAGCATCAAACATCCACTGAGCCTTTATTCTGTGTCATCCTTTTGCACACAACTAAGAACATGAATAATTTGGAAACCTTAAAATCATACTAGAGGATATTTGTCATTTGTGAACCTGCAGCCCATTCCTCACTTTCTGTAATGCAGCTTTCAGGCTTGTATAAAGAAAAACAAACTATATATATATTTTTTTACTTTTAGATGCTAATTTTCACACATTTCTCCAAAATTCACATAGACTTTTGCTAGGTTATAATTAGAAGGCAAACAAACACCAAGTCTTACTGGTTTGCGACAACAGTTAATTCTCACTCATTACAAACCGGCAACCTCAAGTCAACTGCAGGTCTTATCTACAGACCTTCTCTTTTCAGGACCCAGACTGAAAAAACAGCTTCTATTTGAGACATGCCTTTCTCTTTCGGCAATGGAAAAGAGCAAGAGCTTAAATGACCCTTCAAGCTTCTGCTGGGACTTCGTGAACGTCATATTTGCTCAATGCACTGGCCAAAGTAAGTCAAATGCTTCCTTTTCCTGCTCCACCATGAAGGGTTTGCTACAAATCTTGGGCGAAGGACAGAGATATACATCTTCTTACAGGAAGGAGTTTAAATATTGGGGATGCTAAACTACATAACTCATTAGTTTGGGAGGGAACATGACTAACATAAAAAAGAGACAACATTCCACGTTTTTAGCATTTTATTACTTAAATGTAGCTTTTTTGTTAAACAAATGTTTGTTAAGCACCCCTTTTGTTCCATATACTGTTCCGGGTGCTTGTTATGTATTAATGAACAGAATGAAAAAAAAAAATCTCTACCTTTTTGGAGCTTACTCACTAAACTTCTAAAATAAAATAAGCCTAATAAATGAGCTAATAGTACAGTGAGATGCTCTTTTTCCCTCTTTTTAAATTTAAATAACATTTACAAATAATTATCAACTTGTCCACTTTTAAGTCATACCACAAACATGGCTGAAAATGTGCACTGCTATTGAGAAATCCGGGGTATAAACAAAAGTACAAGTAAGTACAACATGTCCGCTAAATAACAAGCTCTCATTCTGTTAGCATCTGTTTCTTAATTATCTTTACATCCAAAGTGTTTGAGGCTCTGTGCCAAGAAATGCAAAATACATCGATTTTTCTTTTGTTCAAGAATGTATGGGTCAGATATTCAAATTAGCTAACAAGTTACTTTTGTTTCATAATAAAATGATTACATTTTAGAACTGGAAGGCACCCGAGAGATTACACTGATCTCTGTTCATTAGGTATAATAGACCCTCTTTATCCCCTTCAAGTAAAAGTATGTTTCCATTAGTCACTCGATCCAAACCTTATTAGGCTGCCAAAAGACTTTCATAAAAGAGATGAAATGGAAACAAAACAGTAAGATAAGAGCTTATTCCATATGCCGAACTTTGGTCCTGGGCTCTAAGGTCACCACTGTTTTAGTTTACAAGCTCGGAGATTGCTTCCCAAACCTACAACTTGGTAAGGTAGCTGGCTCCTGAGGAGTGAAGAATCTGACACCCACTGCACTGGAATCAGTCTTTTTCAGCACCCCAAGGCACTTAGCTCTAAAGAACCGCCCAGACTCTCCTTTGCATCTTAACGAGCTCCTCTTTAGAGCCGCTACTGTCTGCTTTTGACAGCCAACCTCAAGGAATACTGACTTAATCCAGGGGTCCCAATAACATTTAATATTTATCTTCCTTTTCCGGGAGGAATCTATATCCATCCAAGTTGCCCAAGTGGGCAGTTCCCTCTCCCAAATAATTAGTTCTACTCCCCAGGGAGTCTGTGGGCGCATCCCTCTGTCCCCTTTGAAATGTCCATTATAGTTTTCCTCTGTAAATATGTCAATACATATCCAAAAGATGCGAATCTTTAAAAATGTATTCATAACGCTACTATCACATGTAAAAATTAAACATAACTCCTTAATATCATCGGCTATCCAGTGTTCAAATTTTTCTAGTCTCATGTTTTGGTACATTTTTAAATAATCATAAGTTTAACTCCTTTTCATCTCCAAGACGTTGATTTCCTCTCCACTCTCCTGGAAGTCGCGCTTCCCTCTTGGTGCTTCCCGCCCTTGCAGTCCGGTGGGAACCTGAGGAGTTTCCTGCAGCAGCAAGTTGAAGAACCACGCGAAGCAACGTGCTGGAAACCGTAGCCAACGGAACTGCAGTCACGCCTCCCATGCGAGCTCTGGAGGGAGCACTTTATGTGTTGCACTGAGGGTAGTCTCCGGAAACGCAATTCGCAGCGGACCCCGGAAGCGGTCTTGTGTCTCCAGCTGTGGGTGGCCGAGAACTGTTACACTACGCACGCTGAAGGGGCTGGGTACGTGTTTTCCTTCAGGACCGGGGCGGAGAGGAGCCGGGATCGCGGCAGCAATGGAACAGGCCTCGGAGAGGCGCACGGCCAGCGCGCTGTTTGCGGGGTTCCGGGCCTTGGGGCTTTTCAGCAACGACGTTCCACACGTGGTGCGGTTCAGCGCGCTCAAGCGCCGGTTCTATGTAACAACGTGCGTAGGCAAGAGTTTCCACACCTATGACGTGAGTGACTTCTTTGGTTGGCTTCCCGGGAATCATCCTCCCCGACCCCTAACTCTGTCCTGGAGCAATCCGGTTCTCTCTTCCCATCTACCACGGGCTTCCCTTCTTTAACCCTTCTCTGTCCTATTAACGTTTCACCATCCGGTCACATAACACGTGCTGATTTAGCATTTGCAGTCCTCCTAGGGCGAGTTTCAGAAGCAGGCTGACTGGGGGAAACTGTTAGACAACATCTCAGTTCTATGGCAATAATATTTGTTCAGTGAATACTTACTGATCTTCCCTTGAAGGTGGAAACAATTACAAACCTCCACCTCTTGCATTCTTGCACAAGTTTTTTTTTTTTCCCCCCATTTATTTATTTTATTGCATTCTTAATGAGAGAGAAAAACACGCACGCTATTACTTCATTGGTGACAAGATCTGCGTTAGAAATTCACACTAGGTAGAATACATTGGGAGGATCAGAGAGGGCGAGATTAATTACGGTTAGGGAAAATATCTGATAGCAATCAGTTATTTTCAACTAACGCTAAGTGTCTGGCACTGTCACTCTAAGCCTTGCAGCCATTTCTTGGCAAGGTAGATATCATTATACCGTAGCACCTTTATATTGAACTGTAAAGGTAAATTTCGGCCGGGCGCGGTGGCTCAGCCTGTAATCCCAGCACTTTGGGAGGCCAAGGCAGACGGAACACGAGGTCAGGATATCGGGACCATCCTGGCCAACAGGGTGAAACACCGTCTCTACTAAAAATACAAAAATTAGCTGGCCGTGGTGGCGCGTGCCCGTAGTAGTCCCAGCTACTTGGGAGGCTGAGGCAGAAGAATTGCTTGAACTCGTGAGGCAGAGGTTGCAGTGAGCCCAGATCGGGCCACTGCACTCCAGCCTGGCGACAGAGTGAGACTCGTTTCAAAAAAAAAAAAAAAAAAGAAGACAGAAGTAAATTTCAGAAAAATTGTTACTTGTCAATGATGATTTTTTTTTTCCTTTGAGAGCTCATCAATCATTGTAATAATGTCTCGTTTACTAATTTCTTTTGTCTTCTCGAAAAGAATGTAAGCTCTGTGAGAGCAGGAACCTTGATGATGAGAATGGTAATAGTGTTAAGTACTTTCTTTTCTGGAAAACATGTTGTAGAGTTGTCTCTCTTGGAGGATTGTGAATATCAAATGCCTTATTAGCAAGAAAAGCTGGGAGTTGGGAACTAGTTGAGTTAGTGGAAGAGGAAAGTGAGGGCTGAGTTGAGATCAAGAGCAGTTGGGTTTCTCAGTCTGGGTTGGTAATGGAGACAGGGTGGGTTAGAACCATACCATTAATCCTATGAGAATATTATCATTCTCTGTGCTTGGTCCTTGCTTGCTAACTTTTGCTGATATGTTTTCTTCTTGGAAATGTAATTTTTCTAAGTTTCTCTCTTAAAGAGCTTTTGAAATCTTGTCTTTGGTACAGTGTCTTTCCTGACACTGTGTTACACACAAACACATGTTTTTTTCCCTTCATTCTACTTCCAAAGAAACCCTTTGGTTAGGAGAGTTACATATTTGCACATTTTATAAAGTTAACAATTTATTTAACAGTGCATTGACATTTAGTCACCATAAAGATGGCTTTTAAGGTCTCCTCTAGTTCTAACACTGATGATACATTCGTAACAACATGGCATGTAAATGCTCTTTACCCAGACTGTACACTGCTCGGACTAGCCAATGCATTGGGCTATGACCTCTGAAACTGAAAATACTTGGGAGTGAAAAAAACAAATAAATGGTGCTAATAAACCTAAGTCACTAATTGGGTCTACAAGTGCTCTGCCCCATGACTATGGCTATATTTGCTGTCCCCAGTCAGACTTCCTACAGTCCTACAGAGTAGCTGCTTCTACAGGGGAAACTAGACAAGTTGTGAATAGGTGGTGGTAGTGATGGTAGCAGCTATGACGTATTGAGCAATTACTATATGACTGGCCCATTCTGTTTTACACAAATTTACTCATTGAATCCTTTTAACAGTCCCATAAAGCAAATTCCTGTTTTACAGATGAAGAATTTGAGGCACAGGGAGCTTATTTTTCTAGGGTCATACAGTTGGATCAGTAGCCATGATTGAGTCAGCAAATTAGAGTCTGCAAGCCAGTCTAGCCCACTGCTTGTTTTTGTATGACCCAGGAGTTCTGAATGATTCTGACAAGTTTAAATGTTTGCAGGGTCAGGCTAGGGTTGGGGAAAAGGATTTTCATGACATGCAAACTTTGTGAAAATCAAATATCAGTATCTATGGATAAAAGTTTAATACACCCGTGCACATCATTTATGTATTGTGTATGGCTGTTTTTGTGCTACAGTGGCAGAAGTGAGTAGTTGCAACAGAGACCACATGCATGGCCTGCAAAGCCTAAAGTATTTAATATTTGGCTCATTATAGAAGACTTTTGCCTACCCTTTCCATCACCACTCCTGGTGAAATAGAGTTGAAAATATAAACTTTCCTAATAATAAAAATTAGGGTCAGTAAGTGTCTTCCTTATGAAGGACAGCATAGCAAATATACATATGAGGTTGTATCTTTATCTTCAGATGTTAGGTTATTATGATTGTGTTTGTTAATGAAAATTTAACCTTTTTTCTTTTTTTAAACAGGTTCAGAAACTGAGTCTGGTTGCAGTAAGTAAGTATATACTTTATTCTGAATTTATGCATATCTAAAAAAAATTTTTTATTTTGACATAAATTTGAGATTTACAGAACACATAAGGAAGCCAGGGTAACATGTATGTCTGATAAACTTACATATCAGAAACAAAAAAGGATACCAGGATAGAATCATGTTTTGCTTTCAGTTGTTACATATCTTTTTTTTTTTTAATTGGAAACTGTTCTTTAGACTTTCTTTGTGCTTCATGATATTGACACATTGACACTTTTGAAGAGTACAGGCTCATTTAGAATGTCCTTCAGTTTGACTTTTTTTTGACATTTCTTCAGGATTAGATTCAGGTTGTACCCTTTGGCAGGAATCACAGTAAATTGTATCGGAAGGCACATGCTGTTGGTTAGTTCTATTCCCGTCAGCCATTGGTTAGGAGGCCCCATTTTAAAGTTAGTGTTTTGGCCTTGGTTATCAATAAGTATCCTTTGGTAATATGCACTGGGACTATGTAAATATCCTAGTACTCTTCAAAGTTATCACCTCTGCTTTTAGCATTTTATGATGGTACTTGCCTGAATCAGTTATTAGTATGATGGTTGCCAAATACATGTTGATTATCCTTAATCTAAAAATTTGAAACCCAAAATGCTCCAAAGTCTGAAACTTTTTGGGAACTGACATGATGTTCAAAGGGAAATGTTCATTGGAACATTTCTGATTCACATTTCCAAATTAGTAATGTTCACCTGGTATGCAAATAGTCCAAAATCCAAAACACTCTGAAATCTGAAACCCTTCTGGTCTCAAGCATTTCAGATAAAGCATTGTCAGCCTGCAGTGATTTTCTTTTGCCATTATTCCTTCTACTGTAAGGAAAAGTTTCCCCTTTTCTCACATTTTGGTGTGTTTTTTTCAGTGGAAGAGTTTTGTTTTGTTTTGTTTTTGAGATGGAGTTTAGCTCTTCTTGCCCAGGCTGGAGTGCAGTGGCGTGATCTTGGCTCACCACAACCTCCACCTTCCAAGTTCAAGCGATTCTCCTGCCTCGGCCTCCTGAGTAGCTGGGATTACAGGCATGCGCCTCCATGCCCAGCTAATTTTGTATTTTTAGTAGAAATGGGGATTCTCCATGCTGGTCAGGCTGGTCTCGAAATCCTGAGCTCAGGTGATCTGCCCATCTCAACCTCCCAAAGTACTGGGATTGCAGGCTTGAGCCATCGCACTGGCCTTGTTTTTTTTTTAAACTATCTAATAGGATAAAGCATTTCTCAGGGCTGAGAGATACTAATTTTACCATCAAATATGGTCCTTGTGAGAGAAACAGAAAAGGCCTACAAGGACTGTAATGTGTATGTCTATTAAACTTACATTTTAATAATAGATTAGACGGCAGAAGAAAGGCATTGGAACTTAAGTTGAAAACAAAAGTGAATGATAAACCTATAGAAACAGGATTATGCAAACAAATCCTAATATGGAATTTACAGCATGAAAAATACAACAATCCTCTGTCTTCTAACCCTCACGCCCCAAAAGAGGAAAGGAAAAGGTCAGTATGACCAGGATAATGAGAGAAGAATCACATGTCACGTGAGAAATGCTAGCTTGATAGGCATATTTACCTGGAGAAGACTGTAGAAACAATATTGTCTTTAAATGTTTTAGGAGTGGACATATAGAATACCATATGGAATACTTTTGGGTTGGTCCAAAGGGTAGAGTTAGAGATCTAGGTTTTGAGTTACTTTTAAAATTTTTCTGGAGTTATTAGTGAACTTGATGTTCCAGAAGATATTCACGTGTTCACATGGGCCAAGCACGGTGGCTCATGCCCGTAATCCCAGCACTTTGGAAGGCCAAGGCGGGCAGATCACCTGAGGTCAGGAGTTCAAGACCAGCCTATCTAACATGGCAAAACCCTGCCTCTACTAAAAATGCAAAAATTAGCAGGTCATGGTGGTACACACTGGTAATCCTAGCTACTAAGGAGGCTGAGGCAGGAGAATCACTTGAACTCAGGAGGCGGATGTTGGAGCGTGCCGAGATTGCACAGCTGCACTCCAGCCTGGGTGGCACAACGAGACTACATCTCTCAAAAAAAAGGAAAAAAAAGGTGTTCACATGAAGACTGGATGACCGTCTGTCAGAGCTTTGTGTATCAAATGACAGTTTTTTTCCAAATAACCTCCAAAAGCTTCTTTTCATTTCTCTAGGATTATGTTTTTATTTCTGCAAATCTAGACATTTGTTCTCTTAGGGAAGGACAAGGTGATTTCCTATCCTTAGTTTCATAGTTACTTACAGATATCTAAAATATTTTAGTCAAAATTTTATACTCTGAGTCCCAACTTTGATCTTTATAAATATTTTTGAATTATAGCCATGAAAAATGTTATATGTATACTTGAGGTTTCTCTTTAACATCTTAAAAATTCTTGTTTCTTTCATTTTGTATTTTCTCCTAGGTAATTCTGTTCCACAGGATATCTGCTGTATGGCAGCTGATGGCAGATTAGTCTTTGCTGCATATGGGAATGTTTTCTCTGCATTTGCCCGTAATAAAGAGGTTTGTATCACTAAACTATTTTAACTTGTTTGTCTTTTGCAGTCAGTAGTTATTTGTCATGATAGTGGAGGGAACTTTAATTTTGTCATTCTTTACCTGGCACACTCTGGAAATATACAGTATTCTTTTATTTCTAATGTATATTCAGTTTTCTGGAGGAAGATAAATTTTCAGAAAAGGCTTACTTAGAACTGGTGTTTTACTCAGTTTCTTTGTCAGAGATGAGTATCAGAATTACTTGGACACCTTCTCTAAAATTTTTTATGCCCACTCAGTTCCCATCTCAGGAGTTTTTTGTTCTGTGTATTTGTTGAGATAGGACGTAATGTGTATTATTAAGTTTTTTTTTTTTTTTTTTTAACGCTTTCCTGGGAATATTTTACTACCACTTTATGTGGATTGGTTATTCACTATGCATAACTTAGCTCATAACTCTTTTTCTAAAAACCAGATGCTTGTTCCCTATTTGAGAATGCTAGATTCTGTGTTTTCTCCACTGCTAAGAAAAGAGCTTTTCGGGTCTAAATCTACCAGTTGTTTTCTGAATTTGTCCTGGAACAACTAGCTTGAGAGATGACCTGGCTTTACTGGTCTAGAATGAAAGGAAAAGTAGGAATGGGGTTACAAAGATAGCCAAATGATAATGTCCCTGTACTTGTCAGGGACTTGGAGAGAGGTGGTTCTCATAGTCTTTTATCATCACTACCTGTGGCAGAGGAAGGTAACTTACCTGTGGAGATCTTTAATAGAAGGTGTTCAGATTTTTAGAATTGGGAAAAATGTTCATATATGCACAGGTATGGTCAGGGTTAGTGGAACAAAGTAGGGGTGGGGAGGCATCAGACACTATCAACTGTAGGAAATTGTTACCACCCCTAATGTCAAAGGGCCAAGGAGAAGAAACAGTGTTATTGGAATCTCGTGAGGACTGAAACCGTGGAGAAAGGGCTATACTTTTGGAAGGATCAGCTACCATAAGGGTCTCTGTTAAAGCAGAGAGGTATGGGGAAGAAGACGTCGAATCCCCCTTTCCTAACTCATCTGACGACCAGTTGATTATGAAGTATATAGAGATCAGCCTTCTGGAACATACCATCTTGCTAGGATATATATAGTTGCACTGATTGAATTGGGTGAGGTACCTAGGTCTGTGTGCCTGCCTCCTCTCTAACCTAAGTTGGAAGGCTGAGCCTCAGAGGTCTCATTTCTTTGTTCTTAATGAACAGTTTACCTTCTTATTGTTGAACTGGCTGAGAGAGCAGATGAACACGCCTGGTTCCTTGATATTTATGTGTTCATCCTAACCTTTAATAATCAAGAGTTGGGCTGCATTTCTTAACAGAAGCATCTCAGGATTGGCATGTTTTGGGGATAAAATGAACAATATGACATGATGACTGAGTAATACGAAATTCTTTTAAACTTTGATGTTGTAGATAGTACATACCTTTAAGGGTCATAAGGCAGAAATCCATCTCTTGCAACCCTTTGGAGACCACATTATCTCTGTTGATACTGACAGCATTCTTATTATTTGGCACATATATTCAGAAGGTAAGAGCTAACAATTTATTTGCTTTATCTTAGGGTAGTCTGTGTTTAGTTAAAACTTAAAATCTGTCAATATCTATGCCAAAGGTTTTGCCTGTAAATAGTAAAAAAAAAAAAAAAAAAAAAAAATTAAAAATCTTTAACATGTATAAGAAAAAATGTTCTAAGTAAGAAAGAGATAAACAACTTTAGCAAGTTAACTACTTATAAATTGTTGCATGTGCTTACCTCAACTAATATATTTTCCATTGCTATTTTGTTGTAATATATTATTACAAAATGATTTGTTATATTGTTTTCCCTATGGAGTGAATATTGATGTATTTTCATACCTGAATAATTCTTGGTTTGTATTTCAGCTTTTAGTAAAGAGGACTTTAATAGTAAACTTGATCTTATAATCAGAAGGAAAATATACATCCTTTTCCTAGGGATATGAATCAGTTTCTTTCAACTGTGACAGTCTTAGACAGTGGCTATGTTTATGGGATTATGTATCTTTAAACATGAAGAATTTATTCCTAGAATATCTACACCTTTCCTCAATAAAATACCTTCTTTGATATGTAAATTTATTGGAAAATTTGGTGAAACATTGTTTTAATTGTGGAGGAACTATAAAGTAAAAAGCAGAATTCAAACATAGAAATTTTGAATATAACCAAAGATTTCAGAGAATTTTTTGGTCTTGGAGCAAGTGACCACTGGCTATGCCACCCCGCACTCCACAGGGTTGTAAGTTTTTTTTCTTTTCCTTTATTAGAGGTTCTTTTGTGGAAATGTGTGACAAGTACTGTTACTAGTTTCACTGAGATACGCGTTTTATTTTTGGCATTTTTTGAGTGGCCCATCAAACTTTCCATATAGTTGGGTCTTCATTCCCTGGAAAAGCTAAGTATAAGCACTTCACTTGGAATATTCACTTCTGCTTGTGGATCAAATTACAGAAATATTAATGCTGATCTTTTGTTAAACTTTATCCTTTTCTGTAAAGTAATTCAAAAGTGAATGAAACTTTTAATAGTATTTTTATTAGAAGTCATAGAAAATTTTTCACAGTCTAAATTACATTTACAAGTTGCCCTTCATTTATTTTCTCAAGGAATGTATAGATTAGTATCTAATTCTGTGGTTTATTTTAGCTTTGATACGATAGACTTTAAGCGATAAATATATGGTTATATAAAACATTTTAAACTATTTTATAAAACATAATTATAACTTTCACTTTTGTAGAAGAATACCTGCAATTGACTTTTGATAAAACAGTATTTAAAATTTCTGCAATTTTGCATCCAAGTACCTACTTGAATAAAATACTTCTGGGCAGTGAACAAGGAAGCCTGCAATTGTGGAATGTAAAATCCAAGTAAGTATTTTAGTTAGAAAATAATATAGTTGTCACTTTATCCTCATCTATTACTTCCTAATGCATACTTAAGTCTCATTTGTCCTGCTTTTGTATATTTATTTGGAGGGTTGTCTATAAATACAGTTGGTCCTCTGTATCAGAGGAGTCAACCAACTTCGGATCAAAAATATTCAAGAAAAAATAAATAATAATACAACAATAAAAATCACATTTTAAAATAGTACAGAATAACAGCTTATTTACATAATATTTACATAGTGTTAGGTTTTTTGAGTAAGCTAGAGATTAAAGTATATGTATAAATGTGTGATGGTTATATGCATTTTATGTAAGGGACTCGAGCATCTCTTAACTTTGGTATCAGCAGAGAGGTTGGGAAGACCTGGAACCAATCCCCCAGGGATACTGAGCTATACAGCTATATGCTTGCTTTTGAAGTTGTTGCTGGTGGCATCACATATATGAAAGCTGGCATGTGATCCTGACACATGTTAGCTTCATAAATGCTTATTGAAAAGTTCGTACTGATGGCCTATTAACTGTAAAGAATTGCTATACAGAAGGCTCTAATAAAGTAATATGAGATCTCTCAGAAAATAATAATTATGAGATTATTCTTGGGGAGCTTCTAGTTTTCCATACATGAAAATTTTCCATATATGAAGAAGGTAAAAGATGGAAAAGTAAATCAATGATAATTTAGTGCTAGCATTTAGAAATGATTTTCAGGGTTAAAAATATTTTCGTCATTTCCCATAGATACGGTGAATATCTACTATAATATTGATATAGCTGGAGGGCTGGATACATGATTTTGAATACTTCTACCCATTATTTAAACATTTATCGGTAAAAAAAGGTGGCAGCTCAGACTTCTTTGTGTAGCATTTAAAAAAGCAAATAAAAATATTTGACCATCCAAATTGTTTTTTCCAAAGTCTTTATAAATTCAGAAGGGAAAATAAGATTATTAAAGCTATAATATTTTAAATCAGTGCTTCATTTCAATTTAACAAATACCATTGACTGCCTGCTTTGTGCTAGGTTCAGGGATGGTGACTGAAATACTGTCTTTGCCCTTACAGTTATTTTCTTTGGTTCTTTATTTGATATGTACATTCTTTACTGTACTTTAGCCATTGTATTCAGTAAACTAATCTGTGCCTATTTACACAATTTAATATGTGATTTAATACTTTAATGATAATTATTATGATTTCAGATACTTCTGTTTGTTCCATGGATGTGTTATTTATCATTCATGGCTTGCTTCTGAAATTGAGAGCAGCATTACTATTGTCATATAACAGTCATATAACATGCAGATAATATTGTTGTTAAAATATAAGTTAGTCCCTTTCATGACAGTCTTTTTGCAGTCCTAAATTTTTTTTTTGTTGTCTGTAATATGAAATGGTTTATCACTCATAATTTTTTTTTTTCTACTTTGGACATTTAATTTCTTAAAGAGGTGGCATAGCATAGTAGTGTGAGATCTAGAATTTGTCTGGATAATATTACTAACCTTGTGACGTTAGCTTAATTATCAGAATACTGTGTGGAAGAGTAAGAAATTCATAAATATCACCTATTATTATTTCATTTTTTAAATGTGTAACTGATTTTGTCTTCCTCCAAAAAAAAAGCTTTCAACTATTTTTCTTCTTGTAGTAAACTTCTGTATACATTTCCAGGATGGAAAGTTGGAGTGACAGCTCTTCAGCAGGTTAGTATTTTTCTGTTAAAGAGGAAACAAAGTTAATAGGAAAATCTTTTAGTTTCAGGAATCAATCATAATTTTAGACGTAAAGACAAAACAATATATAGCTTAGTTTACCTTTAAAATTGTTACCCTGAAGAAATAGTGTTTTGGAAATGTAGTTTAAAACAATTAATAATGCCTTTGTCAATAACAATTTTGGAATCCTTTGTGCTTATAGTTTGACTTTAAACCCATGGTTGCTATGGATCCTTCTTTACTAATCATTTTGCAGAGATATGTAGTCCAGTGTCTTGTGTAGACTGGAAATGAGTGTTCAGCAATGCAAGGGGTATTGTAAGTCATGCAGATAAATTTGTCAAGATGTTGAGATTTATGGTCTGAAATAATTGGAGCCAAAATCCTAATGTTTGATTCGACGATGGACTATTTAAGAAATAACTGCTTTTTTTAATGACTCCGCAAAATATGTATAAATAAATGAATGCATGCCTGCATTGAATCTTGTGTTTCTATTGGCCACATATGTAGCCAGTATACACTTATTTTTCTCAGCATCCACTGTCTATGCTTGCCCAATTTATATGTATTCCTTATCTTCTCTTACTGCCATCAATCTAGCTCCACTTTTGCCTATCCAGAAGACTCCATAAATATCAGAGGATTAGGTACTTTGAGACAAGGGATTGTTTCAGTATCTCCAGTTTCTACACAGGGTCTGATACATAGTAGACACTTGATGACAAATTAATAAAATGTGTAGCCTGATTCCATTCTATGATGATATTGGACATTGATCTTTGCTAAAGTAAAGAAATTCATAATAGAGCCTGTATGTAAGACTATCGTATTATAGACCATTATAACCATAGAATATTGGAACTGGAACAGGCTCATTGTCATACATTTTTTTGCCTTTTCCCATGTTTTGTAAGTTTTTCTACTTTCTTGGGTAAACAATTTTTCACTTCCTCTGTAATTGGTTATACATTGCCATGCATGTCGCAGGCCTTGTATGTTTTCTAGGAGTTGTCTCCTTTTTCTGTTTCCATCCAATCCAGTGATCTGTAGTGATTTTATACATAGCTTTCTTTTCTGTTGGGGCTGTTTTCTTATCAAAATCTTACCAGCTGGGTTTTGGGGATGGGGATGGGATGTTGACTGGCAGAATTGAAACTGGGAAGTAATTTGGAAAAATCATTTCCGAATACTTCTATGCTGAATATAAAAGTATGCCAAAATAGTAATACTTGTTGAGTTTTCCTGCCACCTTTGGGAAGATACTCCATTATTTCTTTTTGATAACACCTAAGAAATGATGCATATCATAAGGATTATTAAAGCTATTTTGTTTAAGAAAACAAAATAAAAGTTCGAATAATTTAATTTTTAGGCACCAGCTGTGGATGTTGTTGCTATTGGTCTTATGTCAGGTCAAGTTATCATTCACAACATTAAATTTAATGAAACATTAATGAAGTTTCGTCAAGACTGGGGACCCATTACTTCAATTTCATTTCGCACAGGTAACTTTTAACATACTTATTGATAAGAGTTAAGGAAACTTAAAATTCATTACCTTAAAATTCAGAAATTTTTTTTGGCATCTGGTAGCTTAATCTAATAGAAATGAATGAATATTGGAGTAAAAGGAGGCAGAGAAATTTGAATAAATAATGGTATATAGTTTTTTTCTAACTTTATGGAATAAAAGGGAAGAGAGAAGAATTCTTGTTTATTTTGGGAGGATCTATAAGTATTTTTCTTAATGTGTTTTATTTTAATAACAGATGGTCATCCTGTAATGGCAGCTGGAAGCCCATGTGGCCATATTGGACTCTGGGATCTAGAGGACAAAAAATTAATCAATCAAATGAGAAATGCGCACTCTACAGCAATTGCCGGACTGACATTTCTCCATAGAGAGCCACTTCTTGTCACAAATGGCGGTGACAATGCTCTCAGGGTATTATGATGATTGTTATCATCCTCCTGGCTCATCTAACTTATCCTTTGGGTTATTACAAGCTTGTTTTAATGTATCAGCTTTCAACCTAGAAGATGGAAGGAATATGGAAGGAGGTATTGGTATAGATGAAAGAAAAAGCACAGTAGGTGACATGATTGCAGTGAAGCAGGAAAGAATTATAGTTTATTTCTCCCACAATACCCACCCTCCCCCTTGTAATTCCAGGGTCAGTGGCTTAGCAAGCACTACACAATGCCAGTTGATGTATGTAGGGGGTGATTTGACTGCTTGCAGATAAGAACTTTACATTTTTATTTCTTGGCAGATATGGATATTTGATGGTCCTACAGGTGAAGGCCGACTTTTGAGATTCAGAATGGGTCATAGTGCTCCTCTTACCAGTATCAGATACTATGGACAAAATGGACAACGGATTCTAAGCGCAAGTGAGCTTCTGCTTCATACTATTAGTTTATTTCAGCAAGTGTTGAGATGCGGGTGCCCAGTATTAGGTTTGACATTTACACATATTTAGATTTGCATATCTCTTTGAGTGACTTAAAGTTATTATCTGTCCTTAATGTGTCCTTCTGTTTACTAATCCTCAGAGACAGAATGGTCAGATTCTAAAAATTCTGTTAGTCTGCTGAAAATTATTAGTATCTCGTTTTCATTTTATCCTTTATTCTCACTAAATGCCATTCTATAAAAAGTTGAGTATTTTCGGCCAGGCATGGTGGCTCACGCCTGTAATCTCAGCACTTTGAGAGGCCAAGGTGGGCGGATCACCTGAGGTTGGGAGTTCAAGACCAGCCTGACAAACATTGAGAAACCCTGTCTCTACTAAAAATACGTGGTGGTGTATGCCTGTAATCCCAGATACCAGGGAGGCTGAGGCAGGAAGATTGCCTGAACCCAGGAGGCAGAGGTTGCGGTGAGCCAACATTGCGCTATTACACTAAAGCCTGGCAACAAGAGCAAAACTCCATCTCGAGAGAAAAAAAAAAAAGTTGGGTGTTTTAATGTAGTTGCAATCTGGCTTTCCCTTTAAAGTGCCCCAAACTGTAACTTCAAGTTTTTCAAATTGAATTTTATAAAATTTGTGATTCACATAGTCCATTGTTTTGATGAAACTTGATTAGAGATCTTCTGTGTATGTCAACAGGTCAAGATGGAACTCTTCAGTCATTTTCCACGGTACATGAAAAATTCAATAAGAGTTTGGGACATGGTAGGTCCTTTGCAAGACAGAAAATAAGCTGGTTACAAAAGAAACATTTCAACATTCTATGAGAGAACTGGAGAAAGTTTCATCAATACATTTTCTCTCTTCTTGGATGAAATAGATAAACGTAAACCATAAGAAGTGGTTGAAGTTCTGCTATGAGGTTATTGGAAAAAGTTAGACATCTTGGGTGGTAAAAACATACTGCTGCCACCCAAAAGATGTTGATGGCCTCTCTTGAGCTATCTGTAGAGTGCACAGTTTTTAAAATGGAAGGTAGCTTAGAGAAAGCATCAACATAAGCAGTGTCCAATTTTTTTGCTTTAAAGCAATCATTTTATTCTTCTCTTTCCATGGTTTCCAGCCTTTGAAAGATTTGTTTATTAAACAAGAAAATGTTTTTCAGTTTTATTACTAATTTTTAAGTGACTATCTTTACTATTCATGTATGTATATACTTTCAGATGAAATTTAAGATTTTTTTAAAATCAATATCTAAAGTAATTTCTCTTAGAATTAAAAAATAACAGTGGTAATAACATCTTTGTTTTGTTTCTGACTTAAACGGGAATATCTTGAACTTTATAGTTGTATGACAATGATAGCTTTTCTTTTACATATATATATATTTTTAATTAAGAAGGATTCATAGCTTTCTATGTCCCCCTTGCCTCCAACCCCAGGATTAATAAATAAAAAGAGAGTCAAACGTAAAGGACTTCAGAATACCATGTCAGTGAGACTTCCACCCATCACAAAGTTTGCAGCAGGTAAGTAACTTCATACTGTGTTTCAAGACGTTCTCCTTTGTCGTTGTTTCCTACTTTGTGCTATTTTATTTTCTCTGTTTTAATAAATGCTTTTACAGATATTAATAAGCATTCAGAAAGTAACTCCAGGTATATGCTGATCTTGTGTGAACACTAAAATGAATTCTTTTAAATGTGAATTTATTATCTATTAACCTCAGGCTTTGCTCTTCATAATAGCTACTACTAATATTTGATTTTATAGCCTTTTTATTCTGTCATATGCCTAGTATAATGAAAGTCACTAATTTAAAAAGAACTGGAACAGCAAAGTATGAGAACATAGAGCTCTGACTAATTAAGATCTAAGAATGCTGAGGATTTAGTATGCTATGTCATTTGACCACTGCTTCTTTCAAAGAAGTGATTTTAAGAAAAACGTAGATAATGGGTTTGTTGCCTGAAATCTGTCATGGGAAATTACTGTGTAGGCACTATTTCTATTTGAAGGTTATTATTAAGACCACCTTTCTGACTTTTCTTAGAGCTTGAGTGATGTTTCTAAAAACACATCTAAATCACATTACTCACCTGCTTAAAATTTTTTAGTGGCTTCTTATACCTTTAGAGTGGAATCTCATCTCCTTAACATGACTTTCAAGACCTTTGGTAGTGTGGTCCTGATTGCCTTCCCCGATTCCCATTCCTCCCAAAAGATACTACACTTGCTTGCTGTCCTCAGTTTTGTTCATTTTCTTTTGTGCATGTTATCCCCCCACCCCAGGTAATTTCTACTCCTTCTACCACTCCATCCAGAGAGACATTTATATTCCCCAAATCTGAGTAGTTTTATAAGACACTATCATATTTTACTGTGATTTCTTCTAATTCAAATCTCTTGTTAGTTTGTTGTATACTAAAAACACATAAATACACACATTTTTAATTTGTCAATTAAAAAATAATAACCTCTTGTTAGATTGGAAACATTAGTATCAGGTATTACCTGTTTGGTTCACCACTGTATCCCTAGTGTCTGATGATAACCTGAAATATTAGATGTTTAATAAGTAACAGATGAATAACAGAATGAAAAGTAATTTGTTTTATGATTTTTATTACATTTTAGAGGAAGCTCGTGAGAGTGACTGGGATGGTATCATTGCTTGCCATCAAGGTAAGCTATCTTGCTCAACCTGGAATTATCAAAAATCTACAATAGGTGCTTACTTTCTCAAGCCAAAGGAATTGAAGAAAGATGACATAACTGCAACAGTAAGTGAGCTTGTTTATAAGGACATTTTTGCTTTAAAATTTTCCTATGGAAATCTTGTTGCACTCAAAGTTTCTCCTCATAATATTGGTTGAAAAAACATAGTTTAACATTTTGAAGTTATTCCTTAATAGTTTTAAGCTTTCCAAGTTACAAACATTTATTTGAAATTGGGTGTGAGGTATTATCTCATTGTGGTTCTGATTTCTATTTCCCCACTGACATGAAGAATGAACATCTTTTCATATGGTTATGGACCATTCGTATATCTTTTTTGAGAAATATTTAAAAATAATTAACTTGTAATATCTCTTTATATATTCTCAATACAAGTCCCTTATGAGATATTTGAATTACAAATGTTTTCTTCCATTCTGTAGGCTATCATTTCATTTTCTTTTTGGTGTCATTTTTAACTAAAAGCTTTGAATTTTGATGAAGTTCAGTTTATTCTTATATTGCTTATGCTTTTTAAGAAAGCATTGTGTAGCCGAAAGACATGAAGATTTGCTTCTGTGACTGATAAGAGCTTCCTAGTTTTAGCTCTTATATTTGGGTTTATTCTCTCTCAATTGATTTTTGTATATGGTATGACATAGGGATCCAATTTCTTTTTTTTGCATGTGGATATCCAGTTGTCTCAGCACCATTTGTTCACAAGACCATTCTTTCTCCATTGAATGATCTTGTTACCTCTGCTGAAATACAGAAAAACATATATTGATACACTATTGATATTTTAAGTAGTAAAGTGGGTTTATAATAGAACTTGCCTATAAACCAAATGTTCTCCTGTATTGTCTTATATACTCCCTTCCTAAAATGTCATAATTAAAATATTTTGGGCTTTTGCTTGGGCTTTCTAACTAATGGTATGTTTATGGTTTGATGACAGCTGTGGAAGCAGATAAAAAAGGCAAGACAAAAAGAAATTAGGCAATGGAATGTTTTGACTTTAGCCTTGTTAATAAAATAAAAATTGAAGGCTGGTCCTGTATGTAGTTCTCCTGACTTTGTACATTTAAATTGAGTTAACCTTAGTTATGTTTTGTTTTCTTAGATATTAATTCTTGATACTTTTAAAAGAATGGAGATAGAATCTAACATATATTCTTATACACCCAAATATAATTACTTTAGGTTTAAAAAAACTAATGAAGCAATTTATTTATCGTGCTTTTTTAAATAAAAAGGAACAAGCAGTAGATAAAAAAAATACTTTGGCAAGCATAAAGTGCAATAAAATGTTATTTTCTTTGTCATTTGCGGGTTTTTTTTTTTTTTTTTTTTTTTTTCTTTAAGGCAGTGGATATAACTTCTTGTGGAAACTTTGCTGTAATTGGCCTCTCATCAGGAACTGTAGATGTATATAACATGCAGTCTGGTATACATCGAGGAAGTTTCGGCAAGGATCAAGGTATAGAATTTTTTCCTTTTTTTAAATTAATATAGATAAATACAAGGCTAGTAATGATAGCTTGCATTTATAATCTTTAAGTGCTGGGCATTTTGCTAAAGTTTAAGATGGGTTATCTTCAACCCTATATGGCAGATACTACAATTGTATCATAAGGACCATGTTGAAAGAGAAAAGTCATGGGTACCTAAGAGTTATGTGGATATTATTCAGATTAAAATTTTTTTCTCTTCTGCTTTAAGCAGAATATTTTAACAAAATTTTCAGACCTATGTGGTATCAACCTGATTTCTGTTTTTTTACTCAGTGTTAATAATTAAGATTCTTCTCCTTAACCCACTAAAATTCAGATTAATTTCAAAATTTTTCAAGGATATTTAAGTGGCAGGTTATGTATTTGAATGAAGGAATCACTATGTGTATTGTTCAGAGAGACACTGCCAATTCTGATTTCTTTTTTCTTTTGACATGTACCTTACAGCTCACAAGGGATCTATTAGAGGTGTTTCAGTGGATGGATTAAACCAGGTGACAGTTACAACTGGTAGTGAAGGATTACTCAAATTCTGGAACTTTAAAAGCAAGAGTTTAATCCATTCTGTGGGCCTCAGTTCATCTCCAAATATCATGTTGCTACATAGGGACAGGTAAACTTTAATGATAATGGATTTTCTCATTAATTCTTTTGGTAAAAGTTTTAAAGTCACAATTTACCAAGTGAGAAAAATCAGAGTATTTAATAAAGAACAGCATTTGGCTTAATTTCCACCTAACTGTATTTGATTTAACAAAATTCAAGTGGATATAAGACTTTTTAGTTCAAGGGTTTTTTATTTACTAAAACTGGTGCATTTATCTTGCTAGTGGCATTCTGGGACTCGCCTTGGATGACTTCTCCATTAGTGTTCTGGATATAGAAACTAGGAAGATTGTCAGACAGTTTTCTGGACACCAAGGCCAAATAAATGACATGGTAAAACAAACTCTAGCTGATAAAACTGGACTTATTTCTACTTCTGTTTGGGTGTGTTATCCTTTAATAGCCTTAAAATCATTATATGAGGTGGTTATCAATTTTAATTTGCAGGCCATTTTTCAAAGATTTTTAAAGAAAGTTTTAAGTTAAAAGTTTAATACTTTTCAGGGAGTTGATGCCATCAAATTGAAGTGTAAGTTTTAGAGCTCATCTTTTTTTCATTAAACCAGGCCAGAGTAAACTATAGATATGAATGATCCATTGGTTTGTGTCATTTTTAACTTAATATTAAAATAAGCTGGGAGAATTTATTTCTGTTTTACTATGTATGAAATGAATTAATAGTAAAAGACTATTTGCTTGGAATATTTGGTATCTGGTTTATTTTAGGTTGGTGCTATTTCTGGAGTTTATGTATGTTAATTCTGAAGGGGTTTAATTAATAAAAATGTGTTTAAGTTTACTATTATGTTCCTATAGTGGGATATATTATATGGTAAGAAGTAAAGTAGTTTGAAAAGCATATTTTATTCAAAAGAACTTTTAAAATAAATTTGTCATTTGAGGACCATATTAAGTCTATGTTATTATTTTTCATCAATTGCAGATACCTTGATTTGCTTGAAAATAGAAAAAGTAAAATAAAAATAAAACCCTAATACTTAGTGACAAACCCAACAGCTACATTTACTAGTTTTCACACCAAAAATCAGAATTTACTCCTTTCCTTAAAAATTGAAGGAAAAAAAAGCCTGGTCAGGACATTGAGTTCTGCAGATCAGAGGCTGGCAGAATTACACATCAACAGAATTTGTTTCAACAGCATGTGTAGAAATGAGGGTGGGAGTGGGTTGTGCTGAAATTGCAATTTTTAAAACAACTGTAAGTGTCAATTTGCTCTTCCTTTTTCTTTCTTTTTCAAACCTTACTTTCAACTTGTATATCTAGAGTTTCCCTATTCAGTAATAAGTTACTCCTTTTAGTTAAATCTGAGAGCATTTATAACGTGACTTTACCTCTCAGAGTCATTCTTTCCCATGCTTTGCTATCTGTATCACCCTTCTGTAAGTTGATCTATTTGTAAATTGAGATTTGAGTTCACATTATATTACTGCAGCCTGATGAACAAATGAACATTTACATATTCCAGTATCACCCACTAATTTAAACTGCTGGATGAACAATATACTACAACTACAAACCTTAAAGTTTTTCTTTTTGGGTCATTTTTCACATGTGATCTAATTTGTGCCTCATGACCCTTAGGTACTACAGGCAAAGAGCTCTATTATTTATCCATTTTTATAGCTAGAAAGGATAATGGGTGGCATAAGTAGTTTATTTAAATTTGTTTTGAAAAAATCTGATTATTATGGCTTATGTTTAGAAATAAAGCATTATTAAAAAAGAAGACGTTTAACATAAGCTTCAAGAAAAATAGGCTCTTAATCACACACATAAACATATTATCTGTAAATAAATGGAAAATTCTGGTTTGAAAATTAATGCAATACACTTAATTTTTTTAATTTTTAGTAATTCATTTAAAAGCCTAATCTTTATCCAAATTCCATATCAGTGGTATTTAGGAAGTGGTATTTTCTTTTATATGTAATAAGACAGCCTGAATGTTACTCAGTCAAATTAATTTTTTTATGAAGCCTGCATTATCTTTTCATTTATTGCATTCTTTAAGGTATTAACTTTATATACATACATGCATACATATAAATATATATATTTTATATATATATATATATATGTATATTATATTTTTTTAATTTAAAGGCTTTTAGTCCTGATGGTCGTTGGTTAATAAGTGCTGCAATGGATTGCTCTGTTAGGACTTGGGACCTTCCTTCTGGTTGGTAAGTTTATATTTCTAAATCCCTAACCTCTATAAGAAGATTTCTAAGTTATTTTCTTCACACGTGACTTTTACCAGTAGTTAATGGATTATATGCTTTTCCAATGTGACTATATTTGGAGATTTTTCTGACATGACTGTATTGTGTCCTTGGAGTGTTTTTAATGATAACTAAACAGCAAGTAGTAGTGTCATGAAAGATAATAGAAAAGTGAAATCTCTCTTAGGTTTTCTAATCCTGCAAAATTGAGATACAGAAGCAAGGTGCCTAAACCTTAGGAAAGCTCATTTGGCCTTTTTGATAAAGCTCAGACTTAAGGATGACAAACTTTTATTTTGAGTTTTTTTAGTTCATGCTGAATTTAGTTAGAAAGGAAAAACTGCTAACTTTTCCTTCTTGTATATTATATCTCTTGTGGTACTCTGACATAATTCTTAAAAGAAGGCATTTTAAATAGCGCATTTTCTGTAGCTTGGAATATTGAAACCCTGTATTTCTAAAGAAAAGGAGTTTATTTCTTACAGTTTGGGAGATTGAAAAGCCTCAGGTCAAGAGGCCATAGCTGGAGAGACTTCTTGCTGGTGGAGACTGAATAGTCCCAAAGTGGTATGGGGTATCACACTAGTAAGGGTGATACCCCATACCACCTTGGGACTATCACTCAGTGTGATAATGTAATGGCTCAGGTCTGTCTTCCTTTTCTTATAAAGCCACCAGTTTCCCTTTCATGATAATCCATTAATCTATGAACAGGTTAATTCATTAATGAAGACAGAGTCCTCATGATCCAGTCACCTCTTAAAGGCCCTCCCCCTCAATACTGTCACATTGTGGATTAAGTTTAAACATGAGTTTTAGAGGGGACATTCAAACTGTATCTTAAAAGTAGTAAAAATGTGTGTCTTTAGATTTGGGTAAAACCTAACAGATGTTCAGAAATCCATTTCATGGGTTGAAATTTGCTGCTAATCCAGCACTTTAAAGAGAAAGCAACCAAATCTGTAAATGGTATAAACAGAGGAGACATACAGAATGTGTGTGGGGTTTGTTGTTAAAAATTATGTAGGTGTAGATACCATTTAAAATCATATCATTTAACACAGGATTGCTTAGATGAGTATGAAGAAAGGAAGAATTATGGAAATAGCAAAACATCTAATTTAACAGTACCATACCATTAAAAAAAGATGGATGAGAAAAATGAGAAGGAAGGTGGTACTTTTTAATCTAAAATCTTCCTAAATTAAGCTCTGTTAACTTCCTCTTCCTACTCACAAATTGGATAAGCTCATACATGAAAACAGTTTGACCTTTAGGAAGGAAAAACCCTGATGTCCTCAGTTCCCTTCAAGTTTGAAACAAGCCTGAGGCACACCTACCTATCCTGAGTATACAATGGATTTGTCGTAAGCACAGCTAAGGATTGTTGCTAGTGGGTCCAGCTCTAATAACTAGGGATCTTTGTCCACAGGTGTGTCTCTTTCACCTAAAATAGAGTAAAGCAAAATATAATTTATTGACTGTATCCTCCTTTGGTTTTAGAAGGTTCACCTAAAGTTGGTATTTCTTTAATTAAACATTTTGTTAAAGACACTATTAGAAATATTAGTGGTCTGTCACTTCTTGGGCTTTTGCTATTTTCTAAAAGTTAATGTTATCTAATTTGAGTTGCTTTAAAGTAAGAAAGTTATATAAATAGTAGAGTTGGCATAGTGCCTTTTTCATTTTCCTTTTTAATAGTTTTAGTTTATATTAGTGGGAGAGATAGATTATTCAGTAGTAATAAATTGGTAGTGTTTTTTTTTTTAAGTGATTAATTCATCTTTGGAATGGAAAAATTAGGATTTGAAAGTAGCATTCAAAGCCACTAACCTTTGACTCAGCATTAGCCTTTTGCTGAATTTCTTATATCAGTAAAAAGTTGAAAAGATCAAAATCTGATAAATTTTCAACTCTAGTATCTTATTTTTAGTGAGCATAAGCAATTTCAAGTGAATAGAGAGACACGAAGCTGGGTGTAGCACAAGAGCAAGAAGTGACCACATCGAATTATTAAAAGAAAATGTAATAAAATGGACATTGATTGGAAAAAGCATATTTTTATTTAAAAAATTAGTTTTTGGTTAAAATTTGAAGTGGACCAAATGAGAGAGCTTGAATAACTATCAAACAACTGCTGCTGCTTAATTGCAACTAAGCTAACATTTACGACGTGCTGCTAGGCACTGTGACTGCTTTTATTTTTCATATCCTAAGAGGTTGTAGGTACTATTACTGTTATTAGTCCCATTTCAAAAACGATGAAGTGGAGGCTTTTAGAAAAATTAAGTGATTTGCCCAAGGCAACTTAGTTTATAAATGGCAGAGCACAAAATAAGCACTGGAGAAAGAACTGTTGTTATCACCTTTGCTCAGACCGTGTCTTAAGAACGAACTGATTTTCTTGATGTAGAAGATAATAAAGTTAAGATTAGTGTTTTATTGTATAACCATGGGTAACTTGGTTTTTTTTTATTTCCCCTCTTTAAAAAAACATAATTCAGCCTATGGAGATTCCTAGTTTTTCTTTCAGTTAAATAACTTGAATAAAGCAAACATGTTACATAGCCTGGAAAGTGAAGCTATCTATGAGTAAACCCTTGAGTGTATTAACATACAGGGATATCCATCTGGAATTGTGCCTATTTTAAACAAATTGCATAGGTATTAAACTTTCCTATGAAGTTTTTTTTAAGTGCTGAAACATTTTTTATGTTTGTAAAATTCTCAGAGAAACAGAGTTGAAATTTTTTATCTCTGAAATTATTGTTCCTCTACCATTACCACCACCTTTTATGTCTGGCTGTCTTTGATCTAACAGAAGTTCAGATTGAATTCTTTTTTTTTTTTTTTTTTTTNGAGACAAAGTCTTGTTCTGTTGCCCAGGCTGGAGTGCAGTGTTGCGATCTCGGCTCACTGCAACCTCTGTCTCCTGGGTTCAAGGGATTCTCCTGCCTCAGGCTCTCAAGTAGCTGGGACCACAGGTGCACGCCACCATACCCAGCTAATTTTTTTTGTATGGTTAATGGAGATGGAGTTTCACCATGTTGGCCAAGCTGGTCTCGAGCTCCTGACGTCAAATGATCTGCCCACCTCATTATCCCAAAGTGCTGGGATTATAGGCATCAGCCACCACTCCTGGTCCAGATTGAGTTCTTTGAGGGGTGAGAAATATATAAAATTAAATAGTCTTCATAGAATTCTTCATTTGTTCTGTCTTACCCCAACCCTACTTCCTGAGGAGCATTACATAGAAGAATTGGAATAGAACATTGTTTTGAATTTCTCACTGAGGCAAAAACATCCCTTTGTGCTCCTCCTTAAAGATTTCTGTGGAAGATGATTTTAGCACTTTAAAAATAGAACATATGGAAACAGTCTCCATTTGGTCAGAATAATCATCAGAAACCACCTACTGAATATATGTGCAGGGCTCTGATCTTGTAAATCAGAATAAGTTTCTAAATCCTTAGAATAGGAATTGTATTAATATTCTTTCAGAAGAAATTATAAGGTACCTGGGACTGAACATATTTTTTTAAGATTAGCATGAAACTGTATGGTAGTTTTAGGTCTGGGATGAGCCTGCGCATTTATGTTTTATGAACTAATGTGACAGTGTAGAATATGCTGTGTATGTGGAAACCACCTTCCTCAATTTGGTGGTTTTATATAATGGAAGTCCCATCTACCCACACACACAGCTGTGGAAATGAAGTTACACAATGAAGTTGACAAGATAATTATAGTTTAAGTAAAATAAGTTTGCTCAAGCAGTAAGTTTCTTCTTAACAGATAGTTCCTAAACATGTTAGGAAGTTTTACCCTTCACATACTTAAACTTTTGATGAGTAATATTTAGACAAAGGAGACAACCTTAAGATTTGAAATTGCCGTGTTGTAGGTTTAATCTTCTTCTGTATGTGTTAGGATAGTATCTTCATCTCTGGATTGTGTGGATTAAATGGCTCAACATAAATAACTTAACAGTCTGTGGCATAGAATAAGTGTTTAGCAAGTGTTTTCCCCAATTCCTTTGATTCCCAACAAAAGCCATTCTTGTGCGCTTTCAAAGCAGACTTGAACAGAAATCAGGTTATTGCTCCCTTTCCCATAAAGGACAATTAAACAGCAATTGTTTTCCTAAACACAGTTTGATGGGTGTGTGTTTGTTTCCAGTGCTTTTGTTGTCTTTTCTTGCAGTCATTGTTTAAGGTTTACATTTTTATTGGCTCTTTCAGCAAATTGAGAGAGGCATTTTACCATGGGTAAGCAACTTAATGCCTCCCACTGGACAGTCTTCATTTACATTTGAGCTGCTCATGATGTGTCCTGTCAATCACTGATGTAGGCATACCCTGGGTGTGTGTAAGCTATTGCCCTATTTTGTGCTTAAGTTTCAGTAATGGCTTTACTGGAATGTATATTAGCTAACAATATGAATTGGGTAGAACTGCTTGGGTGAAAATACTGACCCAATTGCTTTCTGCCTTGAGTGAATTTAAAATCTTACTGGACCTCAGTTTTCTGGACTGTATGGTAAGGACTATCTGCCTTGTAGGGTTTGTGAAGATTAGATTAGTTAGCACACTCAAGTGCTGAGGATACTTCCTCACACAGAGCACTAAAAAAAGTGTTACTCTTGAAGTAATTTGTATTATTAATGTACATCCTGAACTTGAGTCGTTTGTGTGTACCTTCCTATGGATAATATATTGACTTCAGAATAGCTGTCATTGGGCTGGGCGCGGTGGCTCACGCTTATAAACCCAGCACTTTGGGAGGCCAAAGCGGGTGGATCACGAGGTCAAGAGATTGAGACCATCCTGGCCAACATGGCAAAACCCTGTCTCTACTAAAAATACAAAAATTAGCTGGGCATGGTGGCGCACGCCTGTAGTTCCAGCTACTCGGGAGGCTGAGGCAGGAGAACTGCTTGAACCCAGGAGGCGGAAGTTGCGGTGAGCCAAGATTGTGCCATTGTACCCCAGCCTGGGTAACAAGAGCAAAACTCCGTCTCAAAAAAAAAAAAAAAAAAGGAATAGCTGTCATTAAAAAGCAGTATACTCTGCTTAAGGCTACTCTCACTTTTAGGCAGCCTAAGGAGTCTTTCCAGCAGGATTCAGATGAGTATAGGCCTTTCTCTTTGTTTCTTAAATATACCTCTTTTCACTTTTTGCTCTCACCATCCTAATTATCTTTGTTGCTTGTTAGATGATTACATATTCTCACCATTCTCTCTGTTCTAATATATTCTGCATTCTGATGGCAAATTTTCTATGAAAGTGAAGATTATGCCACTATCTCCTCTTAAGTGGTTAATGACTTTCCATCAATTATAAGATTAAAACAAACTCAGGTGTTTGGTATATAAAACATTATATGCAGCCTTATGCTTATGCTTATGCTTAATGGTCCTACAAAACTGCACTCCTCACTATACACAATTGTATTTTCCCTTGTCTTGTCCGCCACATTTCCCTTAGCCAGGAAATGCTTTCTCTACTAGACCTCAATATCCATTGAAATCCTGTCCATTGGTAAAGCTCCCCTCAAACACAAGTGTTCTCTGTGAAGCCCATTCTGAGTCCTCTACCTGGTTGTGGTTTCTCTCCCTTTCACCCCAACTAGTAAACCCCTTCAGGATTTTAAAGCTATGGGACTAGTTTCCATAAGTTGCTTTATGGCTCTAGAGACTGAATTTTCATGTGTTTCATGTATAGCATGACTACTTATTTGAAAAACAGGTGCAGTGGCTCAAAAGGTTTTTTTTTTAATTACCATTCTTATTTACATCCATTTTGTTATATTGCTTTCTCCTTTTGCCCAAGCTTTTCATTAGTGTCACTGAAGTAACAAAAAATACAGAATACTAATAATTAGATTTATTTTAAATGTTATATCTTTAGAATTGTCCCTAAGTCAATCTACCAAAATTTAGTATTCCAGAAAAACAGATTTCCTCTTTTCTCTTTTTTGTTGAAACTGCTTCTCCAGTTAGTTGGTCTAGTTAATGTTGCATCTTTCTCATTAAGTGAGATTATTTTCACATAGTAACTTAGTTAACAAAGCTGTTTATTAGTGGAGACTTTCTGATTGATACTGGTGATTAAAAAAACACCAACACACATTTTCTGCATCTCTTATTCCTTGTCCTTTTAGCAAAAATATTTTTGTGAATTATATCCTTTTTGGTAGAGTTCAAATAATTTTAATGTGTTAATTATTTCTGTAGCCTGATAGACTGTTTTTTGTTGGACTCGGCTCCTCTGAATGTTTCTATGTCTCCTACTGGAGACTTTCTGGCAACTTCCCATGTGGACCACCTTGGAATTTATCTGTGGTAAGTTCTTTCATACAGTGCTGTTTTGGGATAACGAAGATTGTATGGTCAGAGAGTTATAGTTGCTAAAGTGGTCTTTAAATGGAAATGTCACAAGTTAACGTAAATACTTAATTCACTATAAGTCTGTGATTGAGTCAACATCTGCTTGATAATGTAGACCGCTTTGCTTAAGTATATGTTCTAAACCAAATGATTGATTTTTATCTGTTATCGTATTTGGCTTTTATTTGCAGAAAGAATAAGTAAGTTTTAAAAGTTTAGCAAAAAGGAGTTCTCAGCCAAGCCATGGTTCACCTGCCAGTGTCCCACTACTGCTTTATGACCTTGGCCAGTCACTTCTGAACTTCAGCCTACTTTGTCTATAAAAAAGGCACAAGTATAAGCAGAATACTTTCTGAGATTTATTCTAGTTGCATGACTTTTCATAAACATGTAAAGATCCAGGAGGCTGAGGCAGGAGAATTGCCTGAACCCAGGAGGCGGAGGTTGCGGTGAGCCGAGATTGCGCCACTGCACTCCAGCCTGGGTAACGAGCGAAACTCCGTCTCAAAAAACAAACAAACAAACAAAATGTAAAGATCCTTATATGATCTTCAAATTCTCTTATGATGAACTTATAAGGGATTATGATAGCTCATAATAGAACATCACCTGTGTTGAGAAAAAATTTTGTCTCTTTCCTAACTTTATATATCTAATTCTTTTTACTATTATTATTGGGTAAAAGAAAGAATTGATTGTAAAAAACATTTAATTATAAAATGCTATAATTATATTTGAAGATACAAAGCAATTTTAATATATAATAGAAATAGACCCTGTTCACCTTAATTTGTAAAATGGAGTATCTCCCGGAATCCATGAGGCTACAACAATTTAGAAAAGAATAGTAGCTATGAGACCTCACAGCAGGCGTATGGCCTTTCTCTATAAAGTACTGCTATTAATAACTCAAAACCTGAGAGTCTCAATTTTAATTTTCTATTCCAGCTTCATAAAGTATGGGGAAAAGAAACCTGTCCGCTACTTTGGGACAGGTATCCACATCTTCATTAGTCATTCATGGCCAGGATGCAGACTGAGTAGCAGAAATATGGCTACTTAGAGGGATATTCTAGAGAAGGGGAATCTATGATCTTTCAGCAACTGCAAGAATATGCTCAACACAGTCACGCTCTGACTTACTCTCTGAGTTCATTTTTCCTTCTATTCCAGTATCCTTAAATAAAGGTTGATATATGTCAAAACAATATATGAAAGTTATTTTGCCTTATAAAAGTATTATCTGCTACTGGTCTGTCTTTAATACTACGTCAGGAAAGAGACTCGATAATTTACATAGCTTTATTATTTATAATGGCATCTATGACATAAATCAAGGCATTTTTAAATTGATACAGTCTATCTTTGAGGTCTTTTTTTAACTAATAGAAGTCTGTAGTCAAATTTAAGATTGTAGAGTATTTCCCTGAAGAAACTTTTTATAATTTTTGAAATATTGCTTATGTTTTGTTTTCTCAGGTCCAATATTTCTCTGTATTCAGTTGTTTCATTACGGCCACTTCCTATGGATTATGTCCCCTCAGTAGTAATGCTTCCTGGTACTTGCCAAACCCAAGGTAATCACAAAATTGCAAGTAATTTTTGAGGTGTAATATTATAAACCTAATATAGGAGATACTGCTACCAAAGGCAAAGTTTAGTGCATTCAACCAAAGTGTTTTTTAACCGATATAAAAAAGACTTTGAATGACTTTGTGAATTTATGCAGAAATATAATCGATGTGGCATTGAAAATATATCAAATAGTATACCAGTGAAGAAGGTATTTTGGGGCTAGTGATGGGAGTTGTAGTTAATATGAGAAAATAAGGAAAAGACAGGGATAAGGAAATGAAATTAATGAACCGTTTACAAGGCTGCATTGAGTGAACATGTTATGAAACACAGATGAACTTGAAATGAATTAAGTTGCTTTTATATGGTAAAAATCTCATTTTGGGTTAATTTGTTTTACCTGAACATTTTTTAAAGATGTAGAAGTATCAGAAGAAACAGTAGAGCCAAGTGATGAAATGATAGAATATGATTCACCAGAACAGCTGGATGAGCAATTGGTGACTCTTTCACTTCTTCCTGAGTCACGATGGAAAAACCTTCTTAATCTTGATGTTATTAAGGTAATACTATAGTACACTTAATTAATGCACTTAATAGACCCTAAGCATGCATCCAGAAGCATTTTTATGTTTTTAAGCAGAGAGAACTTCCCCTACTTTAAGGGCGTTAGGAGGAGCAGTTAATGTATAAGATAACAGTGACAATTCCATTTAATCAAGTATTATTTAATATGGTGTGATTATCACAAGATATTCATATTTATGTCAACTTTGAGAAACTCAGCAGACATTTGGATGTGGCAAAAGTTCAGCCTGTATAGAGCTATTGGAAACTGATCCTTTAAAATCCAGCCTAAGAAATCACTTTTATGTAAGTTTCTAAAACAAGCGGGAACAAAAAATAGCTATTATAATGTATTTCTACTGGTAGGCATTTGATGACCAGATAAATTTCATTAGGTTTTCATTTTATTAAGTTAACCCTTTATCTCACACCATGCCCTGTCTTACACCATACTCTGTCAGCTACTGAAAGATTTTTAGAACTTGATGTATCAGGGACAGATACATAAGTTAACATGAACTAGGTACTAAATAATGTACCTGGAGAGTATGGTGGTGAAGAAAAATCCTAGCCCCTATGTCCTTGAGGAATTTATCATTATGCATGAAAAATGGACAACTATGGTATAGATTAGTATTTTTTTAGAGTATGTTTTATGACCCCCACTAGTGAGTAACAAAAACTACCAAAAGGAATACAATAGAGTGAAAAATTTCAGGTTACCTTTTGCTCATGAATGCAAGTATTGTTTGGTGAAACTTGAGTTGGTTAGACATACACATACACTAGATCCGCTAGGTGACTTAAGTCACAGTATAGGCTCTGGTAAAAAGTTTAAGGAACACTGACATAAGTAACTAACAAGATGTAACTGTCCTCGTAACTAATAACACAAGAAAAGAAATGCGTGTCTTGGATAACGAAAGAGAAGTTTTCATATTACATTTCCTCACAGAAGTTAAAATTGCTTCTGTTTACCTGCTAACTTTTTGAGAGATTAGTCATCTGTATAAAGGTGTGCTGTCTAGAAGCATGGTGTCGAATCTTTTCATAATGGTGTCTACACTGTCAGCTTTGAAGGGAGTACATTATGAAATAGTTCAAATGCAGGGCATTAAACTGTACAAGTAGATTACTGTGAGGGGAGCAATCAGAATAATGCTCAATTAATTGAGCTGAGTTTTTGGGCTACTGTGGTCCTCAATAAGATGGCAGTGTGCACTACATAAAATCTTGTATCAAAACATGAGTGGATTATCTTTGTGAGAGGAATATGCTAAAACCTCTAATATTTTTATTTTCTATTAAATAAGAATGTACCAAGATAATGATTTATATTTGTCGTGTGGATAACTTCTATTTTTGCTTTTCTTTGTGAGATTAGATAATTTTCAGGGCACTATGGAGTTCCTCCAAAGCCTTATGGTTTTAACAAATCAGTGACTGTCCCCTTTCTAACTCAAGAATGGTGAGTTAGAATGGTAACTGTGACTCCTTACAGTCTCCATCATCCTAAAGGGCTCTATACTACAGGTGGCAGTGCTTTGTCCTGTGTTCACATAATCATTTTCTTTTATGCCATGGCTCCACTTTGGAATAGAAAGTCTGCCTAAAGCTGCAGAGCTCCTAAAGAATAGAAGAATAATGTGAGGTGAAATTGTGAGACTTCTTTATCAGGCACTTTACCATAGAAAGGCTCTTTCATCAAATATTCCTGAGAGGCAGGGTGCGGTGGTACATGCCTATAATCCCACCACTTTGGGAGGCCGAAGCAGGTGGATCATTTGAGGTCAGGAGTTTGAGACCAGCCTGGCCAACATGGTGAAACCTTGTCTCTACTAAAAATACAAAAATTTGCTAGGCATGTTGGTACACACCTGTAATCCCAGCTGCTCAGGAGGCTGAGGCAGGAGAATTGCTTGAACCCAGGAGGCGGAGGTTGCAGTGAGCTTACTGCATTCCAGCCTGGGCAATGGAGTGGAACTCTGTCTCCAAAGGAAAATGTTCCTGAGATACTGATATGTATCAGTGTACTCACCAAAACAAAATTCTTTCAGTGGAAATTGCAATGGAGTTTTTCCTTATATAATTTTTCTAGCATTTGAAATATTTACAAACCAGCAATCATGTTTTCTTTTATTTTAAAAGCACACAGTACTAAGGAAAAATAAAAATTCCAATGAAATAGAAGAATTAGCTGTACTTTGCAGGAAGATTATCAAATTATTTATAATGTTGGTCTGCTTGTGGCTCCAAAGTTCTTCTGGAGAAAAGTATGAGAAACTCTTTTCTATTAAGAATTTATGTAAATTTTGCTTTCCATCCTGTTTTATGAAAGAGTTTGTACTCAATACAAAAAGAAGTTTATTTAAATATTCACGTAAATATTCATATTTTAGGAAGATTAGCTTTGTTCATCTTAGAATTTCTCCTGTGTCCTTGGTAGAATTTCTCCTGTGTCACTTTTTTTCAGCCTGTCAGCAAGGGTGCAAGAGATCTGCATTGGAAATTCCAGGTTAAGGTTAGATCTGGGTATTGGTCAGAAGCGATTGTATTTTAACTTTCTATGAGTTTCATCCCTCCTTTCTTTTTAGTATTTTTTTTTTAATTGATTTAAAATTAAATATTAGAAATTGTTGGCAGGATAATTGCTGTTTTTCTTTCTCATTTTCTCTTAATCAGAAAAAGAATAAACCAAGGGAACCACCCAAAGTACCCAAATCAGCACCATTTTTCATTCCAACAATTCCTGGCCTTGTACCCAGATATGCTGCACCTGAACAAAATAATGATCCTCAGCAGGTAAAAGACAAATTAGAACATTTGAAGTATATGAGTGTATGTTTATTTGTATGTGTTTTGTGCACTTCTTTACAAGACCTAGTTTTACAGATACAGGATAAATTAATGATAGCTTTTAATTACAAACTGTACATTTTTGGATGTTACATGTATTATTTGAATAATGTGTATTTGTTTTTGTTTAAGTCTAAAGTGGTAAATCTTGGAGTTTTGGCTCAAAAATCAGATTTCTGCTTGAAACTTGAAGAAGGACTGGTAAATAATAAATGTAAGTTGAATTATAAAATATTTTAACAAATATCTTCAGCTTATTTTACTTTATATGAGGAGAAATTGAAAGAAGTATTATCAGAGTTCTCAGTAGTTAAGATAGTGAACATTAAAATGATTGAAATTTTGGTTTTAATTTCAAGTAATTTTAGCTCTTATATTAAATAAGTTCACTAAACTCAAATGGTATTGATATTATAAAAATCTGTTCAAGATTTTTCATATATCTAATTTATTTTTTGCTATTTGGAGATGGACACATTTATTGACTACATTTATAATGAGATCCTTCTTGATGTGAATTAAGTATAAAAGTTTGGTATGTCATTTTTGTATCAGAAAATTTGCAAGCCTTTGGTTTTTATTTATAATTTGTAATACAACAGACTGCTTAGATGATTTCATATATTCGCAAATTATTCTATTAAAAGGGAAATGTTTTAATCTACCTCTTCTGTTAATATGTTTAAATTTTGAAGGCTACAATCTGTAGCTAATAGTGATTAGCCATAAGAACTATAATTACGTAAAAAATCATGGTCACTCTCCTGATAATTTTAACTTATCCTCTTGTTTTGATTCAAATGCTTTTGTTTTCATACCAAGATCACTTGAGTCCACATTAGCAAAAGTCAAAGAATGATACTAATGAGCCTTTGTAAATGACTTCTTAATGTTTATGGGGAGACAAAGAAATAAAAACACTGTTTTTTAATACATGCTGAAGGATTTAAAATTGATTAGACTTTTGTCATTGGTGATGTTCTTTTTCAGAAAGCTAAAGCATAGTCATTGCAATTCTCATATTAAGTGACTCATAAAAATAGCTGTAAGTGTATTGAGTATGTTTTCCTGGGGTGCATATGAAACAACACTTCTAGGGAGAAGAATTAGGTTTGGGCTGGGTAAGAATAAGGGGTGGGGTCTTTCCCCTCTGATTTTATATATTTCTGTATTGTTAGTACTAAATTTCCTAATGATTATGTACTTTTATAACTTTATAACAATAAAAAAGAAAAATAAATTATTATACCTCATCAGATTCCCACTGCTCACCACTATTAATACTTTTGCTTGTATCTTCATAGCCTTCTTATATTAGGATTTACTCAGAGAGAGATATGAGCATTTTTAAATTTTAAAGTGTCTGTTGTGAGGCATTAGATTCTCTTTAACAGGAAAAAAGGTTAAATTACAGAAAAAAAGTGTTTTAAGTACTTTCTTTTTTATTGCTGTCATCATTTGTACTGATTTTCATTTATTTTGAATTTCATTCTACTACATAATATGAAAAAAATTAATTGACAGGAAGAATTTCCCATGCCATTTAAATATATCCTGTTTGGGGTATGGAAGGAAAACTGTAGTTTTCTATGTTAAATGATTATAATCAAATCATAACTGGACTCTTTTTAAAATTTAATGCAGATGACATGGCTCTCAACCTTCTGAAAGAATTAGGCCCATCAGGAATTGAAACAGAGCTGCGAAGCTTGTCTCCTGATTGTGGTGGGTCTATAGACGTCATGCAGAGCTTCTTGAAAATGATTGGGATGATGCTGGACAGAAAACGTGATTTTGAGTTAGCCCAGGCATACCTTGCATTGTTTCTAAAGGTAAGTCTAATGTCAGATGGTACTGCCCAGCTTTTCTTCCTCTGTGGCAGTGCTATCTAATAGAACTTTCTGCAAAGATGGGTATGTTCTATACCACCCTTTCCAATATTGTAGCCACTTGCCACATGTAACTACGGAATACTTGAAATGTAGACAATGTGATCAAGAAACTGAATTTTTAATTTTATACAGTTTAATTAATTTAAATTTAAATATCCACATGTGGCTATTGACTACTACATTGGACAGCTGGACAGTACAGCTTGGTCGTCTTGTTTTCCTTTTTTACTCAACTGCACAACAATTTTGACTTTACCCCCTGACTTGATGCTATCTGCTTGAACCAATGTGCTGAACTATTAACTTTTCTTTTTCCAGTGGTTAGTTACATTTTGAAAGCTTTTTGTGCTTGTGAATAGAAAATTGGGTTTTGTTTGTTTTACTACTGAAATCAAAATATTTACTTCTATCCTTGGTAAAGGAGTTTTGATCATTTGACAATAAGAGAGTTATTTTAAGATTAGTATAGTAGAGAACTCATGTTTTGAGGGTCTGCTTTAATGGTATAATGTGTTGAAAGAGGTAGATGATGCCAATTTTCGGTGATAATAGATTTGATTTTTATCCCATTCATACCTAAAATGAGTTCAGTTGACCTAATTATTTAAAAGTTAGATATTTTGGAAGTGACATGTAGGATTAAAATACAGAAATGCCACAAATTGTCTCTAAATCTTTTTCCAAAGTTGCTAAGCGTTAGTTCCCAAATATGAATTTACTGAAATTTTAGAAGATAAAGGACGCTATCTGCCATTTATTACCAGTGGGGTATATGAGAGGAAAAACATACAGCAATGTGGAAATGTGAATTTAGTGTTAGAACTAGGACCTTGTTTCTGGATCTGTATCAGGACTGTCTTAAGGTGGAGAAGAGTGATGACCACTTTAATTCTACCAGAGAAGCAATAGTACCATAAAGGAGCTTATAATAAAAAAAAGTTTGATAGAGGAAGGGAAAATGGGAGATAGGAATAAACCAACACTTAAGAAAAAAGTATACAGATAATGTCTTATGTGGTTCCTTTGGTAGAAAAATTGAATCCAGATTAGTTAAAATTTTAATTGTCTTAAATGTTAAACCGTCATATTTTTTTCATTGCAGTTGCACCTTAAAATGCTTCCTTCAGAGCCAATACTCCTAGAAGAAATAACAAATTTGTCATCCCAGGTGGAAGAAAACTGGATCCATTTGCAATCACTCTTCAATCAAAGCATGTGTATTTTAAATTATCTCAAAAGTGCTTTGTTATGAAAATAAATTTGTGACTAAACAAATCAAAAGACTTACATATTAAATAGGTTCAATTGAACTCATTTCTTATTTTCCAAGTGTCAGTGTGAAAAGAAAATAATATAATTTTTTAAAAATTATTACCTGCTTATGTTTTTTGAGTATCTATCTCATATAAGAGATGCTGCATGTTCACTGTGAAGTATTGCTGAATTAAATTGAAAATGTCAGATATAAGAGCAGCCTAGTGCTTTCTCCATTGTAACATACCGAAAGGAAGTTGTTCATGGATCAGAAATGTGGGAGGCCCTTCCTTGCCCAAGGCAAATTGCTATAGACATTTAAACTGATAACAAGGATAGGTAAGGGAAATTCCAAATTCCATTGGAAGTTGGCCTTCAAAGGTTTTCCTTCCTCACTGATGACCTTTTTATTTGGGAAGAAACTGCTGAACACACTTTTCTTTCGACACCAGGTAGCCCTGGAGTTTTCTTTTTTTCCTCATCATCATTTTGGTTTTTTTTATGGCTCAAGACTTTTGCAATACATGAATTAAACATAAGCAGTTCTTTAAAGCACGGTGATCTAAAAACTATTCTTAGTTTATACACTTAAAAGTTGAGTCTTTCATGAAATGCAGTGGGTTGAATATAAACACCAGTAGCGTCTTGTTCAGATAAGAGAGTTTCAGGGAATAATCTCCAGAAGAAGCAAAAGGCATTTACTGATGATACCTTTAATGTTCACGTTTTTATTTAATGATGTAAAAATTAGTAAACTACTAAGGAAATAAACCAATCTGGTTATTGTACTGAATTTCAGGGTTTTTTTGAGAAAGTGTATTGACTTATTAAAGCCACTGATGGAAATGTTAATAATGACTTAAGTTCTAACTTAAAAAACCATTATATTCCTCTTTCCTAAATACTATATTCTAAATTGGAATATGGCAAAATTCCAATATATAATTCTGTACCTAGTAAAGCTTGTAATCACTAAAACAAAATAAGCGCTGTAAACTGAAATTGTATTTCTTATACAAATCATCAACCAAATTTTCTTCTCTTTTTAAAGTGAGCATATAGACTAATGTATAGCTCTCGGAGATACATTTAGGTAGTATTACATCATCATTTTGGCAGGTAATCTTCTAGACTTTTCATGTACTGTTTCCATCAAGGGCAGGAAAGAAATACAAAACATAATTTTATTTGTCTGTATTTTCCTTAAAAATATATCAATCTGTGCATACTGGTTTATCTTTAAATTTTTAAATTACACATGTAATATATGACTACATTTTGGTTGTGTACTTTTTTGAAAACCATCTTCAGTCGCAATACCCTCTGTAGAAGAAAGTTATTAACTCTCCTTGATCTTGTTTTAGACTGTTTTTATGAGTGTTTAAGAACGTGTATATATTATCTGCAGCCGCAGGAAATGTATAGTTGTGATTTTTACGAACATATAGGTATATGATTCTACAGCTTGCTGTTTCTACTCGGGAGTTTTTTATTTTTGTACATTCACAGTTACGTAATCTCTTTTGCAGTGTCCAACAGTCTATTTGCCTATGACAGACACTTAAGGAAGTTTTCCTTCTTTTTTTTTCCTTTATAATTACAAACAATGCTGAAAGGAACATCATTCTACATGAGCCCTTTTTGTACATATACGGATTTCTCTGTAGTATATGATTAGGATTTCAATTTCAGGATGGAGTATAAGCATTTTTAATTTAAAGAGATAACTTCCATTTGGCTTCCAGAATGGCTGGATCAAGTTATAGTTCCCCTCAGCAACAAATGAGAATCTGCTTCCCCACATAATTAATGAAACTTGCTATTAGATTTTTGTAATGTTTATTAATCTAATTAAAAATTTATTTTTGTTTTAGATCAAATTTCTCACTAGTGAGGATGGACATATTTTTGTATGTTTATTTTAGAACATATAAACATATTTGTGAATTGTCTTTTTCCTCTACTCATTTTTCTATTGAATGATTTGTCCCTTTATCTCACAGATTTGTTAGGAGTTCTCTTGTATTTTCTGTGTTAATCTTTTATGCCTGTTGCCAGTGTTTTCTCCTACTTAGCCATTTGGCTTTAATTTTACATGGCGTCTTTTTAAATAAATGTTTATATTTGTGTACAATCAAATTGATTAATTTCATGACTTTTACTTCAAGATATAAAGCAAATTATTATTATTTTTTTTTGAGACAGAGTCTTGCACTGTCGCCCAGGCTGGAGTTCTGTGGCCTCGGCTCACTGCAACCTCTGCCTCCCGGGTTCAAGCAATTCTGCCTCAGCCTCCCGAGTAGCTGGGATTACAGGCACGCAACACCATGCCTGGCTAATTTTTTGTATTTTTAGTAGAGACAGGGTTTCACCTTGTTTGTCAGGCTGTTCTGAAATTCCTGACCTCGTGATCCACCCGCCTCAGCCTCCCAAAGTGCTAGGATTACAGGTGTGAGCCATCGCACCTGGCCAAAGCAAATTATTTTCTAAGACATTTACAGTATATATGTTCTTATGTTTACATGTGTTCATTTCACATTTCACATTTATCATGTTTTCCTCTACGACATGATTCTGTGTGTGAGTAATGTGTAGATCTTTATCTAGAATTGATTTTTGTGAAGAGTAAAACAGCGCTGCCTCCAATGTCTATTCAAAACTCATTTATTGAAAAGTCCACTCTTAATGTCCGATTCGAAATGCTACTTCCTTATGTGTTAAATTCTTTCATTGAGCTATTTGATATTCCTAATAATGTATTACTTTGATTATAGTTTAGTATGTTTTCAGATTTGGGGCAAAGCCTTCCTAAAGTTTTATAAAAATTTGTTGACTGCCGATTAGCATATCTCTTGAAGTTTTGATATGGGTTGCACCACATTTACAGGAGTGATTTGGAGAGACCTGTAATACTGAGCACAGTCCTCCCTTGGTATCCAGCTCCAGGACTCCTGTGGATACCAGAATCCAAGCAGGTCCCACGTATGCATATGAAACGTTAGCCCTTGTATTTGAGGGTTTTTCATCCCTCAAATACCATATGTTTTATTTGTGTTTGGTTGAAAAAAATTTTGCATATAAGTGAACCTTTGCATTTCAAACCTGTGTTGTTCAGGACCACCTGAATTTCCCTTCAAGAACAATGAATGTCTTCATTAAATCATCTTTTGTGGGAGAGCTTTTGATTTCATGGATTTTCATATATATATAATAAATATATAAAATAAACACTTTTGACATTCTGAGAATTTTGTTACTATAAGGAAATTTCATTTTCTAATACATATGATAATTGGTTGTTGCTGTTTGTGGTAAAATGATTTGATTTTTATATTCCAATCTCAGCTGCCGAACACTTTGTCAATACAGTCTCACTAGAAAATCCAAAAGAATTTTATCTTCTGCAATTGATGAGACTTTATTTCCTAGCCAATATTTGTGTACTTGAAATTTTTGTGCATTAGAAGTTTTATACTTTAAATATATGCCCTTTTTAAAGATAAAAGCACTGAGGATAGAAAATATGTAGACTGATTGAAATATATATTTAGTATTGTATGAAAATAAATATAATTTAAAAGCTGTTATAATCTCCAAAACATTTTAAGCCTTGAGAGAGATATGACTTTGATCTCAGTCACATATGGCCACTTCTTTTTCTCTTTCTTATTTTGCTTGTTCTGTGCAACGACTAGAGATAATTAAATGATGTCAAGAACAAAAAAACCTCTTGCCTTTTTAATGACCTTGTTATAGATCAATTTCCCCTTTATAATCCTGCTTTGCTTAGACCAGATGTCAGAAAACCTACAAGTATTTCACCCTCTATAAAAAATGCTAAATGTACCCTTCCCCCAAAAAAATCCATAACCAATCAAATTCCTATAACTATTTCCCAACCTTGTATGAATAATGTTATAATCCTGCTAAAAGAAACTCCTCTGTCTCTGCCTACATAAATGAAACCTTAACTTCTCTACTTTAGAATACTGACTCTTTGGAGTTGGTGTTTCCGGGTGGGCTATCCTTAAACTTTGCACATTTATAAACTCTCTTTCAATTAGATTCATACCCTTTTTATTATTTTAGGTTGACATAAACAGCTTGTTAAAAAATTTGGGACGGCCATGGTTTTGCACTGAGCTTTCTGCACTGGGTCCCAGCAGACCAGACCAAACTATAATGAAGTCACTTATGCTGAATGCCAGAAACTTCAGTGAAACAGGTAGATTCCAAAACAGATCATTGTTACCTTTGAAAACAGGCGATTTCAGTCTACCTGAGTCAGCACACTAAGGTAGTCTCTTCTACTTTAAGCCTTACAAAAAAGTAACCTGATGTTAACCTTTTTTCTCTAGTGTTCGATTTCCTTGTTCTCACCTTATAAAACCCCCTGTTCTGCTCTTGCCCAGTGGGAGTTCTCATTCCACTTTATAGAATGAAGGGCTTCCCTAACGAATGGTGAATAAAAGCCAATTAAATTTATAACTTGTAAATTTGTTTTCTGACAAGCTAAATGAGCATTAAATAGTCAAAGTGCCCAGGGACAGCCAGGTCATTGAGACAAGATTTTACTAATGTGTTTGCCTGCAAGGCAGATGTTAATATTTTTTTAATTATATTTTCTATCATGTTATTTAGGACTCTTGACTGCAAATTATTATCTTTAAACAGGAAGGGAAATTTAAGAATTCAGGAATACTGGATTATCTGATAAGGGTTAGGTCACTTTGTTTTCAGGAATTTTTTGTAACCTGTGACACAGAAATGCAAGAAGTACTCCTTAAATTCTGCTTTTCTTTGCAGAGTGCTTCATTCCTTTGATTGGGTTTTTCCTCTGCAACCAGTACCTGCCAAAGGCAGTCAACAATCCACTTGATATGCAGCCTCTTCCTAGAGTTTGAGATTGCACACTGGTAACTAAAAACCCTCCCATCTGGGTCCTAAGTCTTCCCCTCATTTATCACACTTCCCTTTCTTCATCTGGAGAAAGAGGAATCCCTTTGTTTTCTTTTTATAAGCTTTTCACCACCCTCTGAGGACAAAAAAGCTTCGCCCAC